TTGGCCGGGCTAAACATTACGTTTGTTGTTGCGGGTGGTGCAAAGTTTAAACAAAACCAGAAACAACAAGTAATAATGCTTGAGTCGGGCATGCCCGACTACGAGATGCCCCGTTGAGCTGAGCTCTTCTGCTGAGCACTTTTATTTTGCTTCTTCTTCATTTTATCTCACACTTTGTACGGAATATGCATACTATACTATTAACTTCGGAACTTATAGTCCGATCTTTATGACACTTTCAGGGCTTGAATATGACATACAAAATAAGGAATATACCAAAGCGAAGGGCTCTAACTTTTTTGGAGGCAAGTTATGCCCAAAGGAAACCTTGTGTGAAAATTTAAATTTATCGATTTATCACGAATATATATCTTTTATAAATTTAACTTTTATAAATATGAGTATGAAAATGATCAAGCATATATGTATATCTTTTATATATATAATTTTGAAAATTTGAATTTATCGATTTATCGAGAATATATATCCTTTATAAATTTAAGTATGAAAATTTTAATTTATCGATTTATCGAGAATATATATCTTTAATAAATTGAAGTAAGCAAATTTAAATTGATCGATTTATCGATTTATCGCGAACATATATCTTTTATACATTTAGGTATGAAAATTTAAATTTATCGATTTATCGAGAATATATAACTTTTATAAAATTATGCTACCTTCTTTTAGTTACCGAATATATGGTATGTACTTTATGGGATCGGCGATGTTTCCCTCTGGCTGTTGCATACGTTTGCACAAAAACAATATACCCCATTTTTGGCACATATTTAATGGGTTGAGGGCATAAAAAGGCGCGCTCGCATTTTTCAATTGTTTTACGATACTAAATACAATAATTGTTGTTTATCAGCAACAATGACGGGCAAACGTTATGCTACAACTTGTGAGTAGTAAAAGTGTGCGTGTGCATGTGTGTGTGTGTGTGTGTGTGTGTGTGTGTGTGCGGCGCCTATTCACCTTGACATGTCAACGCAGCGGGCTTATTAAATCCATTAACACAACATACATATAACAATAACAATCACAAATAAGTAGCTAATAGCAAGCACGCAAATTAAAACAATTAATTATATTTGTTATTAAATTGCAAAAACAATAACAATAACAATAACAACAAAAACCAAATGCAAACAATGCAAAACGAAAGTGAATTTCTGACATTGCAATAAGGGCAAAAGCCCAGGCGTGCGTGCGAGCGGGACAGAAGCTGAACAGCAAATGTGCAAAACGGTAAATGTTAAAAGCATTATGTTAAAGCTTATGTTAGGGCAGTCAAAAGAGTTTAAATGCCCACGAGAGAGCGAGACAGCGGCAACAGATCGCGTGGGAGTGCAAGATGCACATGCATATGCATGAACGTCTGTGTGTGTGTGCCTGTGTGTGTGTGTGTAGGAGAGAGAGAGCGCGAGCTCGTCGTCTGCCATTTGTTTTATGCAAAGTTAAATGCTGACTAAATGCTGGCAATTAAATGTTAATGTCGCGCGCTCCTGTAGCTCTTATTTATATTATATATGTATGTGTGTGTGTATGTGTGTGCACTGTTTACTGTTATTGTTGCCTGCTCATTATCACTTTCGGTCTCATTGAATGCCGACGCCGCCGCCGCCGCCGTAATTGAAAAGCGAAATGGAAACCGTTTCTCAGCTGTTCGCATAAGCAAAAAAAAAACAACCAACCAATAACAACAACAAAAATGCAAAAAGCAACAAAGATTGCAATGTGCTGTTGCTGCTGCTGCTTTTAATGTTTATTTAACACGCATTGCCACACGCGCTGTTACCGTTGCTATTGTTGTTGTTGTTGTTGTTGTTGTTGTTGTTGTTGTTAAGCGCCACTTTGGAGGCGTCGGGCGTCAGGCGTTCCCAGTCACAGTGCTGCGTGCGCTGCTTAAAAAGCTGCTGCCGCGACGCATGTCAATTTCTTTGGCATTTCTAGCAGCTATGCACCACGGTGCAAATGCACACACTGTGTTTCAAGTTCATTATAAATATAACGTAAATATTATTAAATTTTTACAAACAGCAGTTAATGCTGCTGCTGTTGTTGTTATTGTTGTTGTTGCACGTGTATTTCGCTCGTCTGTTTTTGCGTGTATGCGTGTGCGTGCGTGTGCGTGTGTGGGTGAGCGCGTGTCCCATGCGTGCGCGCTGCATGCGCTGGTGTGCGTGTGCCCGTGTGTATGTGTGTGTGTGTGTGTGTGTGTGTGTGGCCGGCGAAGTGTATTGAACTCTTGCTGCATTTTTTGCACAATATCTTTGTGTGCATTCATTTATGTACATACATACCTGTGTCTGAATGTATTTATTACAAATATGCTCGACTTTTCTGCTGGCTGCTGCTTCTTTTGTTTTTGCAATTGTATTTTATTTCTGTTCTTCTTGTTTCTTGCCGCCCTTTTGTGCTTTTTTTTGTAATCAAGGTTTTTTTGTCGCTGCAATTTATCGGTCAACATGCAATCGATTGCCAAGTGCGATGCTGTTCCTGCTTATTATCGATAACGCATTTAAGCGTGTATGTGTGCATGTGGACACAGGGTTGCCATATTTCATACAAAATATACCAAAGGCCGTAAATTTGCTTATGCAATGGTATTGAGGATATTTTTTACCACCCACAAATTGGTATATGTGTATTTGGACACAGGGTTGCCACATTTGATAAATATGTACCAAAGCTGGGATTAGGGATATTTTTGACCCCACAAAGAAGAAGAATTTAACTGGCTTTTTGGTTGATAAAACATAAAAAATGGTAAAAGAATTATATGGCATATGTAGATATATATATACATATATCTTTTTTATTAAGAGAGCTACATTTTGTTGTTATTTCGGCTACAAATTAATTACTTGAAGCGGGCATCGCCGCTAATTCATTTGCATTTTTTGGCAGCTGACACTCATCTGGCCGCTGCCTGTGTGTGTGTGTGTGTGTGTGTGTAGGAAGGTGTGTGCGTGTGTGGTTGTTGCACACCTTTATGAGGCGGTCAACTGTGACGACAACAACAACAACAACAACAGCAAGGCAGCAGCAGCAGCGACAAAGTCAGCTCGAAACGTCTTTTACTTCCGTTTCTGATGAGTTTTTCAAGTTTGAGGTTAAGGTTGAGGGAAGCGCATTCCGTAGGGCGCGGAGGTCAAAATGCACATTTTATGATCGATCGCAAGAGACGCACGTGTGTGTGCATAATCCAGCAGACCAACCTAAATGTGCTAAGATATATATCTACAAACTGACTAACTGACTGACTGACTGACTGACTGACTGATTGACTGATTGATGATCGCCAGCTGAAACTCAAATGTGGAAATTGGGTGGACAACTTTTTGGATTGACATCGAAATTCATTGTCACAACTCTAGAAAAGACAACCCAAAATTAGCTGGAAAGAAGCTGTCTAAAATTTAAAGAAAAACATTTGGATCAGGCAATGCCGGGTAACATGCACAGTGAAAGTTCTAACAAGGAACTGCTCTTCATTATTCTGCATTCGACGCACAAAAACTCAGAAAAAATTCAAAAAGCCAGCAAATTTGCAAATTCTAAAAAAATACTATTTATCGTTTTTCTTTTTCCTTGATATCTCTCAAAAGCAGAAATTCCCCATTAATTGACTGTTTGCTCAAGGGAGTTGCCACTGCACAACAAAAATAAAAAAAAAACATAACAGTAAAGTAGCCAATGGCAACAAGATTTCCCATGTTCCCAAATACACATGTTGTACATATGTACATGTGTATAACAGAAGCAAATATCTGTTATATATGCTCCAAAAGGAGATACCCTGTACCAAGTTCTTCGTGCAGAGCCACATTTACATAAGAACACACACACACAGATGCATATAAAAAGCAGAGCACTTCAGCTCCTGGTGGCTGCGCAATACATATGCACATTCATACATAGCATGCATACACATGTACATATGCATGTGTGTTATATAGCGCGCGCTCTCTCTAGCACACACGCACCCACAGCACACGCAAGCAACATGCGTGCACACACACATCGAAACCAAGTGTAATCCTATTTGCGTCCAAAAATAAAATGAAACGAAAGAAAAATCCAACAAAGAAGCGGCAAAGCTGCTGCTGCTGCTGCTGCTGCTGCCGCTGCCGCTGTTGCTGCTGCCTCCTTTGCGCCAAAGATTTAACGAGCAGCGTACGACGACAGCGACGTCGACGTCAGCTGAGCTACTCTGCAGTTTTATCTAACCAATACCAATGCCAAGCAAACCCACCAACACAGCAACAGCAGCCGCAGCCGCAGTCGCACAGCTCTCACACTCAACAAACACAAACATACACACACACACACTCACAAGCACGCATACTCTGAGCAGAGGCAGCCATTGCGTTCTCTCTCACTGCTCGTCGCTCAGATGTCGATGTCGCTGTCAGCCAGCTGCTGCTGCTGCCGACGCTGACGCTGACTCTGCGCTCTGCGCTGGGCTCTGCTCTGCGCTTTTATAAATACAATTTTATAGATGCGTTCAAATACAATTCAGAAGTCGAACCGAAAAGACGTCTTGAATTTGTTATTTATTTTTATACATACATATACATTTTTTTTTTTGTTATTGTTGTTGGTGCTGCTTCCTACTCTTCGACTTCTTCACTACGTCTGCATTCTTCTCAGCAGCGCACGAGCAGAGCCACACACACACAAACATACACACACATAGATAAAGCTGCCACAGCGAGAGGCTCTGCCGAACGCTTGCGCCGCGGCTGCGCTCAGAACTCGTGTGCGCGTCAACGTGAAAGCATCTGCGGCGCGCTGCGACAGCAAAACGGGATACAACGAAGCAGCAGACACACAAGAGACAGCCAAATTACAGTTAACAATTACACACAAAAAAAAAAAAAAACACTTGGTGCAAATTTGTTGACTGCCCAAAAAGTCAATTAAATTAAATTATTTTATTTTATTTTTTTTTTTAAATTAAATTAAACCAAAGAAACGTGCTACAAATTAATTATTTTATCATAATAATTGAGTGCAACAACAACAACAACAAGAGAAAAAAACAACAACAACAACGAAATTCAACCAAATTTACAAACAAAAGTGACAACTAGTGAAAAACTTAAACCAAAAAAAAATAAATAAATAAAATAATAATAAATAAATCAATTTATTTACTGAAATTAAAAAAAACGGCTTCGAATGCCGCCGCCAAATTGTGCAAAAAACCAAAACAAAACAAAGGTAACAAATTTCAATACAAATTCAATAAACAATATTTTTTTTCTTGGTAAAAAAAAATTCAAACAATTTTTTTTCTTGTGTCACAAACGAATTTTTGTGCAAGTGTCGTGTGAAAAGCGCTTTTCATGGATAACATGCAAATATGAAAATAACAGTAAAATATATGACTATATATATATATATAACAGACCCCAGGCTGGATTAAGGACAAGTTTTTACCTTGGGTAAACTCTTTTTCTATATATAGGAAATGGTTGGTTTTGTGCAAATGTGGAAAAAGAAACATCTTCAAGCTCATAGATCATATATGCATATATCTATATATACTCCTGATCTGGGCTAAGTTGAGCTAGCCAGATCCGTCTTTCCGTCGCTCCCTCTGTCCGTCTATGTTAACGCTTCGATCTCGAAAACTACAAAATCTAGAGCCTCAGATTCGAGATATTATCCAACTTTTTCTTCAATATCTTCTCCCATTTTCACATCTTTTAGAAGCATATTTTGAGAACTGAGTTATAAGAGCTAGAAACAGATCTTTATATTGTATAGCTACCACATTGCCCCCCCATTTGAGCAGGTAGAACCTTGCGCTTCGGCCTGCCTACATTTCCACATACCAAATTTAAACCCCAAAGTTTCATTAAGATCGGACTCTAAAGACCGAAGTTATGAGAGTTAACAACGCATTTCCCGTACACAGCTTGGAGCGTGCTCTAGTGTCTAGGTGCTCTATATCGTGGTCTAAAGCATTCTACCCTGTTTCTTGTGTGATTTTGCGGGCCTTTTAATCGAATTGACCCTCGGCTGGGTTCAAGGTTCAAGCGCCCGACCGAATTTAAAAATTTTGAATCCCTTTTGAGCTCTGAACCCGCCCGAGAAAAGGGTTGCGCCCCTTGTTAACTCCCTTTCGGGCAAAACTAATGAAGACAATTTGTTAAATGTTCCAACTGACGAGTTATTTATTCAAATAGATCATGTTAGAGCTTGAAGGTTCAAGATTTGCTCGCAGAATCCTATTCTAAAAATCTTTTTTGATAAGGGTTTCAGTTATCTTTTTGATGATGATCCCTTTAATTTCCGATCTATTTCGTTAAAAATCAAGCTAGTTATTTATTTGAATGCCTGAAACTCAGCTTGATTTAAGTTTCGATTTGATTTGCAAGCAAAATTTGCAACAAAATCTAATTAAAGATGCTTTCAAAAACTTAATTTAATTCAAAATAAAACCAAATATTCGTAATGTTAAATTGTTTCAGTTGAGTTTCTGAAAATAAACGCGCATTTTGTAGATCTGTTTTAATATTTGTTTACTTCTTGATCAAAAACAATTTTGAGCTGCTTTTCTATTAAAAAAAAAAACTCCAAAAAATGGTTGCAAAATCTTAACTCTACTCTATTTAAGTCAAAAAACTCTAGAATTTGCATTTCTTTTCCATGAACCAGTTTCTGCTTATCCCAATCAAAGATTTTCCCCCGAAGTTTTATCAAAATTAGACGGTAGAAAAATCTGTCGAGTTTCGTTTGTTACTCGACTTTTTGGGAACAATCCTAGAAATGAGCTTGATTTTAGCTAGATTTTAATTGGACAATTATACAAAAAATAAAGCTCAGTTCTCTAAATAACTTTAAAAAAAAACACGAAGGTTTTTATTTCGGCCAGCTAGAAAAGGTTTTTTTCGATAGATATCAATGTGAAAATCCGAAATCCTGACAAGAAGATAGAAAAAAGTTTCTGCAAAGTTTGAATTTTTTAAAAGTCCTAAAATTCAGCTATTTTTTACTCAATTTATTTATCTATTTTAAATTTTTTAAAAATCCTATAATTCAGTTTTAAATGAAATCGAAAACAACTAATTACGAATTTCAAAGTTTTTCGCTGAGTGTAGCCAAAAGCAAATGATGTAGAGGATTTCACAGTGACAGGGCCTGAGGGGTTAAGAGAGTGAGAGAGAGAGAGAGGGGGGGAGGGGGGAGTGAGGCAGGGGGCGTGTCTTTATCTCAATGATTTAGCATGCGGCTGAGTCACATTCGAAAATTGGAATCGACCAACCAAAATCGAAGCCAAAGCTAAAACAACAACAAAAAAAAACCAAAACCTTATCGCTGAAAAGTTTTCTTTTAAATTTGTCAACATATTGTTGTTGTTGCTGCTGCTTAGGATTTCCAATTGGCGACGAGCACAGCAACAGCAACAACAACAGCAGCCACAGATAACGGTAAATGTTAATGAGAATTGTGCGCGCAGCGAATGGAAATGCAACAAATACAAAGCGCAAAGCGCACGAGCCGATAACAAATCAATACGCAGCGCGAGCGAGAGAGAGAGAGAGAGAGAGCGAGCGAGTATTAGAGATGAGCGCCTGCAGCAGCAGCTGTGGCAGGGGAGTAGAGCGGAGGGGGTGGGGGCGGGTGCTCTCTCGCTCGCGCACGCACTTGCTCTGATTGGAATTTGTTGCTGTCGAAATGCATCCGTTTGCATTTCCCAGTTAGAAATGCGCAACTGTTTTGCGAGCGTCTCGTTTAACAGAACTCAACGCGTTCGATCAGCTGGTTGGCAGCGAAAGAAACGCATGCATATTCAGCTGAAAACGAGATACGAGATCTGCGCTGGGATTTCCACTTAAATGCGCGTAATCCAATCAGCGCACGCAATTGGAAATGTTGCCGTATTCAAGGAATTGGTTTTCAGTTCAAATTCTCCTTCTTGGCTTTCACTGTAAATGCATTCTGCGATCTGGTAACGCCAAATTCAAATGTATTCGTGTAAACTACACTGCAACAAATCCGATGCGAGCTTATTTCTGTCTGTTTACTCCTCGAAATTCCCAATTTGAGTCAAATCAGTCGCTTTTCTTGCATTTGGCATTGATTGTAATATAAATGCTAATTGTAATTCTCATGTTAACTCATCTTTTTCACTTTTATGGCTATACGAGTACAGATTTCACATATTAACCCTTACGGGAAGGACACCTTCCGTCTTCTGTGACCTAATGGTAGCCTCATGGTAAAGCTAATGTTAACATTATATGCCTTCTCTTTTGAACGCATTTAATTTAGTCGTTGAATGTCCTATTACTTCATTATCACGTTCACTAATGTGCATCCTTTAGTTATTGCTCATGTTAAACTTCATGCTAAAGCTAATGTTAACGTTATTTTGTCCACTCCTATGGCCATGCAAGCACGAGACGTACAGTATCTATATTAATCCTAATGTTAAACCTCATATTAATGCTAATGTCAACTGAAGAACAACAGACTGGCCATATAAGCACGTACATATATTGCAATGTTTATGTTATTCCTAATGTTAAACTTCATGTTAATACTTATGTCAACTGTAAACCAACAGACTGGCTATATAATACTTATGTTAAACCCCATGATGATGGTAATATCAACTTCAGACCAACAGACTGACTATATAATTCTAATTTTAAACCTCATGTTATTGCTAATGTCAACTCCAGACGTTGGTCTGTTGAATTAGCCATATGAGCACGAGACGTACACACAATGTAGTATATATGTTAATGCTAATGTTAAACCTCATGTTAATACTAATGTTAAGCCTCATGTTAATGCTAATGTCAACTCCAGACCAATAGCCTAGCCCTATAAGCAATAACACATATAGTAGGTTATTCCTCATGTTAAACCTCATGTTAATGCTAATGTCAACTCCAGAACAACAGACTGGCCATATAAGCACGTACACATATTCCGTGTCTATATTAATCCTAATGTTAAACCGTATGTTAATGCTAATGTCAACTCCTATTGTTGCAGCTAACCACAGCAGACAAGCAGCAGCCGTTTACGATCTCAATTAGCCAACTTTTACAACGACAGCAGCAGCGAAAATGCTGGCCGCACAGCAGCAGCAGCAGCAGCAGCCACAACAGCAACACACAGCGGCAACAGCAACGGGAGGCAGCACAGTAGCGCTTGAGGATGCGGGCTTGGAGCGGGCGCGCCGCGATTCGAGCACCTCGGAGTCCTCGCTGGAGCACCTGGACTTGAGCCGCACGCCAAAGAAGCTGAGCAGCAGCAGCGGCGCGCCGCAGCCGACGTCGACGCCGCATGAGGCGACGTCGCGCAAACGCAAGCTGCGCCAGCTACAGCAGCCGCAACAGTTGCTCTCCGACGAGGACGAGCAACAGCAGCAGCTGCTGGAGCAGTCCGCGCAGCGACTGCGGCACAAGCAGCGACGCAGCGGAAATGCAGCCGCAGTCGCTGCCGCTGCCAGCGCCAGCATCGTGGTCGACTACAGCGCCAGCGGCGATGCCAGTTCGCTGCGCAAAAAGTTTCGCCTGAACCGCAGCAGCGCCAGCAGCATCAATGGCAACAACGGGGAGCTCTCCGAGTCCGGCTTTGTGGATGGGAGCGCGCACAGCGGTTATTTGCTCAGCGCCAGCAGCGCCGCGCAGTCAGCGTCGGCAGCGCAGCAGCAGCAGCAGCAGCAACAGCAGCAGCAGCAATTGGCCTCAAGCAGCAGCTCCGGCGGCAGCTCGCCCCAGGGCCTATGCCACTCGAGCGCCGAGTCCGGCATCGGCGCCGGCGACGAGCACATGAAATATGTTTGCCCCATCTGCGAGGTCGTCTCGGCCACGCCCCACGAGTTCACCAATCACATACGCTGCCACAACTACGCCAACGGTGACACCGAAAACTTCACCTGCCGCATCTGCTCCAAGGTAAGCGAAAGTATAGGGTATACGTTTGTCGACTACTGTCGAGATAGCTTAGAAAACAAACGACAACTAGAATTGCAGGGTATAAGATTTTCGACTAATGTCGAGCTAAGAAGCACAGATAAAATTGTAGGGCATACGACTGTCGACTACTGTCGAGATAGCTTAGAAAACATACGACAATTACAATTGCAGGGTATAAGGTTGTCGACTACTGTCCAGATATGATAAAGTTGTAGGGTATAAATTAGTCGCCTACTGTCGAGATAAGAAAACAGACGAATTGTTAAAGAAGAAACCCAAAAGTTTGATTAAAGGGTATTTAAATGGTCGACTACTGTGACATCAAAACAAGATAAGATCTTGACAGACAGTTACAGGGTATTACAATGCGCGACTACTGTCTAAAGTGATGAAAAGTAACGCATGAGGTTCAAAGTAGCCAATTACAGGGAATTCCAATAAGGGATAAAAACAGAAATCCAAACCAAAAATAAGTTATACAGGGTATTAAGCTGGTCAACTACTGTCGAAAGTTAGGCAATAAACCATAAATGTTTTGGTTAACCAATTATAGGGTATTGCATAGTCGACTACCGTTGAACTAGCGAGACTTAGATAAATGATTAATTAGGTTGCTTATGAGCGCAGAAGTTGTTGACTTTAAGTTTGAATTTAAGTAAAAGTTAATCGGCTTTTTTTAAAAACTTCAATTTGCATAAAATCGATAAATATCGATTTGGAGAAATGGTTATTTCTGGATAACTCGAGGATTATAAGAGCTATATGCTGCAAATTTGGTAGGCAGGTTTTTGTGTAGCATATACAGACTGGGAATATATCATAGTTTAGATATTTTTGCCCATTTGATCAGAAAATGCAAAAAAAAGTCATTTTGAGTGGCACAGTCTTGGGCCTTGGTATGCACACTTTTTTTTATACTATGATGAAGCTGTGAAAGTTTCATAGGGATTGGCTAATACATTCCGGAGTTACTTGGGATCGTGATCTCCAAATGGAGCAGAGCTTTGACAGGAAGGAATGGAATGCTTTGCTCTTCGTTTTGATTGTCGACTAACTTGTGCTTCTTTCTCCTTTGGCCACGCCTACCTCCCACCCCCCCCTGTTTAGGTGCTGTCATCAGCCTCCTCGCTGGACAGGCACGTGCTGGTGCACACGGGCGAGCGTCCGTTCAACTGTCGCTATTGCCATTTGACATTCACCACGAACGGCAACATGCACCGGCACATGCGCACCCACAAGCAGCACCAGACGACGCAGCAGCAGCCGCCGACGCAGCAGCAACAGACACAGCAGCAACAGACACCGCAGCAACAGGCACCGCAGCAACATGGACAGCAGCAACATGGACAGCAGCAGCAGCGACGCCAGCAACATGGGGGCGTGGCAGCTGGGCGTGCGGAGAGCTACGAGAGCGATGCCAGCTGCTCGACGGATGTGTCCAGCAGCAGCAGCAGCAGCAACGACAGCAGCAACAGCAACACCAACAACAACAACAACAACAACAGCGAGCAAACGAACAAGAACAACAAGAACAACAGCAACAACGGCAACGGGGAGCAGCAGCAGCAACTGTTGCTGGCGTGCAAGCAGCGACGGCATAAGACGAACATCAACAACAACAATATACTCAGCGACGAGGAGCAGCCAAAGCAGCCAAAATCGGAGCCCGAGGCAGATGAAGAGCCCGAGGCAGAGCCGGAGCCGCAGCTGGACTCGGATGATGCGGATAGCGTGGATGTGGCGCAGATGATTACGAGCACGCCGGATGTGGCCACATTGCTGGCAACTAGCCCGAGCCCGTCGCCGGGCCTACATAGCTGTCCGGCCTGCAATACGGGCGAGTTTGAGACATTGCCGGCGCTGTGCGCGCATCTGGATGCAGCGCATCCGGATATACCAGCCAAGTGTCGCGACTGCGAGGTGATCTTTGCCACCCATCGGCAGCTGCAGGCGCACAGCTGTCGCGGCCAGCTGCAGTTGCCGCCGCTGCTCGGCGCGAGCAGCTCGCCGCTGCACAAGCTGGAGGTGGAGCACGACCAGGAGCAGGAGCACGACCAGGAGGAGGATGAGGAGGAGCTGGCGCACGGCGAGCAGCTGGCCAGCAGCGAGCGCGATGAGTTCTTTCAGCAGCTCTATCTAAAAGGCAAAGCCGGCGGTCTGCCGTCGCCGATCAAGCGTGAGCCGTCCGAGCAGCGGCTGGAGCAGCGCCAGGATCGTCAGGATCTGGCCGATATACAGAGCATTTTGCATATGACCAGCTCCAGCTGCACGTCGAGTTTCCTGCGCAATTTCGAGCAGTCCGTGAACACGCCCTGCTCCAGCCAGTACAGCCTGGATGGGCGCGACGGCGAGGAGGAGGCCCAGGATGCATTCACCAGCGAATTCCGCCGTATGAAACTGCGCGGCGAATTCCCCTGCAAGCTCTGCAGCGCCGTCTTTCCCAATTTGCGCGCCCTCAAGGGCCATAATCGCGTCCATTTGGCCGCCGTCGGCGCCGCCGGACCCTTTCGCTGCAACATGTGTCCCTATGCCGTCTGCGACAAGGCGGCGCTGGTGCGGCACATGCGCACCCACAACGGGGATCGGCCGTACGAGTGCGCCGTCTGCAATTACGCCTTCACCACGAAGGCCAACTGTGAGCGGCATTTGCGCAATCGGCACGGCAAGACGAGCCGCGAGGAGGTGAAGCGCGCCATTGTCTATCATCCGGCGGAGGATGCCAGCTGCGAGGAGAACAACAAGCGTGTAACGGGCCAGGATACGGACCTGGCCGAGCTTAGCTATCGCTCGCTCAGTCCGCCGCCGCCGCCGCCCCCGTTGCCCCTTGCCGTTGCCTTGCCGCCGGCAGCGGAATCGCAGCTAAAGCACATGTTGCTAGCGGAACCGTGCGCCAAGCCGTCGCCGTCGGTGACGCCGCTCAAGATACAGGTGAAGAGCTTGGATCAGCTGGTGGAGAAGCCGCTGGCGCCGCCAGCCATGGATCTTAGCATGGATGTGCTGGATCTGAGCAAGAAGCCCACACAGCAGCTGGAGCGCCAGCGCGAACGGGAGCGCGAACAGGAGCACGATCTGCTGCTGCTGCAGCAGCAGCAACAGCAACAGTTGCAGCAACAGGTGCAACAGCAGGTGCAGCAGCAGCAGCAGCAGCAGCTGTTTAGCGCGGGAGACGCGACGACGCAGTATATGCAGCAGCTGCTGCGCAATCTCATGTTCCAGCAGACGCCGGGCTTCTCCTTCTTTGGCTACATGGCGCCCCCGACGACGACGTCGGCGGAGAAGTCAACGCAGCCGGGCACAAATCCAGGCCAGACGCCGGCAACAGTTGCTGCCGCTGGCATGCCCATGCCGATGCCGGTGCCGGTTACCGTGCCGGTGCCAGCGGGCGGGCCCGTCAAGATGGTCATCAAGAACGGCGTCCTGATGCCCAAGCAGAAGCAGCGTCGCTACCGAACCGAGCGACCCTTCGCCTGCGAGCACTGCTCCGCCCGATTTACGCTGCGCTCCAATATGGAGCGTCACGTCAAGCAGCAGCATCCCCAATACTATGCGCAGCGCCAGCGCAGCGGACACCATGTGATGCGCGGACGCGCCGCCAGCTCCAATGCGGCGGCAGCAGCGGCAGCGGCGGCAGCAGCAGCAGCTGCAGCAGCTGCCATGTCGAATCTGGCGCAGCAGCAACAGCAGCAGCAGCAGCATGCGCATCCGCCCATTTCGGAGCAGGTGAAGTACGCGATATTGGCGCAGCAGCTGAAGGCGCGCAAGGACACGGATCTGCTGCACCAGGCGCTGGCGCACGGCTCCAGCAGTGCGCTGCTCCACTTCAACTACAACAACAACAATAAGCAGCAGCAGCAGCAACAGCAGCAGCAGCAGCCGGCACATCCCATCAATGGAGCTGCTGCGGATGATGATGAGCCGCCCAAGCTGATCATCGACGAGGACGATGAGGAGGAGGCGGAGGAGGAGGAGTTTGATGATACAGAGGAGGAGCAGGAGGAGGAGGAGCTCGAAATGGAGGAGGACGCGGATGAGGAGGAGCCGGCCGCACAGCTGGAGCAGCTCGAACAGCCTGCGGCGGCGGCGGTGCCCACGCTGCCACGCCCCGGCACGCCCATTGAGGCAGCCAAAAAGGTAGCGGAGAGCATACTGGAGCAGGTGATCAAGGCGCAGGCCAAGCCCGATCCGGAATCAGATGCCGTGGCCATGCCAACGCCAACAACAACAACTGCGGCCACGGCCACACCGGGACCGACGACAATGAAAACAATGATAGCCCAAGCGGAATCGGTGGCGAAATCCTTGAAAGATGTGGCCAGCTCACCGTTCAAGGACGAATCTCAGGATCTGGTGCCGGTGTCGAAGCTGGTGGACAACGCGACCAGCAATCAGGTGTCGTTCAACAGCTATTTCCGGCCAAGCGACGTGGCCAATCACATGGAGCAGAGCGACGAGGAGGGTTTAGTTGCATCCGGCAGCGCCAGCGAGAGCAACAATTCCGGCACCGAGGACGTGACCAGCAGCAGCTGCAACGAGCCGAAAAAGAAGTCCGCCTACAGCCTGGCGCCGAATCGTGTCAGTTGCCCGTATTGCCAGCGCATGTTCCCGTGGAGCAGCTCGCTGCGCCGCCACATCCTGACCCATACGGGCCAGAAGCCCTTCAAGTGCTCCCACTGCCCGCTGCTGTTCACCACGAAGAGCAACTGCGACCGGCATCTGTTGCGCAAGCACGGCAATGTCGAGTCCGCGATGAGCGTCTATGTGCCCACCGAGGATGTTAGCGAACCGATACCCGTGCCCAAGTCTGTCGAGGAGATCGCCTTGGAGGAGCAGCGCCGACGCAAGGCAGCCGAGGCGGAGCGCGAACGCGAACGCCAGCTGGAGCTGGAGCGGGAGCGCGAAAGGGAGCACGAGCGCAAAATCGAACGCGAACGGGAGCAACAGCAGCAGCAGCAGCTCATCCAGCAGCTGACGGCTGCGGCACAGCTACGCCAGCAGCTGGCCAATGCCGCCGCCGCTGCCGCAGCTGCAGTCGTAGCCGGAGCTGGAGTCGGAGCTGGTGCTGGAGCCGCCGGCAACAGTCCAACAGCTGGCGGAGAGGGGGGCAACGGCAGCGAGCTGCCGTACAAATGCCATCTGTGCGAGTTCTCGTTCGGGGAGCGGCTGCAGTGCCTCGAGCACATCAAGCAGCTGCATGGCCAGGAGTTTGCCCTGCTGCTGGCCAAAGGCGCCATCGAAACGGACCAGCTCCACGAGCAGCAGCAGCAACAGCAGCAGCAGCAATCGTCGTCATCCAATCCAGCAGCAGCTGGCTCCGAGGATGAGTCGCTGGCGCCGTCGGGTCGCGGCAGCGGCAATGGCAAATATCCGGACTACAGCAACCGGAAGGTGATCTGTGCGTTTTGTGTGCGCCGCTTCTGGTCGACGGAGGATCTGCGCCGACATATGCGCACACATTCCGGCGAACGGCCGTTCCAGTGCGAGATCTGTTTGCGCAAGTTCACGCTGAAGCACAGCATGCTGCGGCACATGAAGAAGCACAGCGGACGCAGTCACAATGGCGAGCAGGGCGCATCCGATTGTTCCGATGACGAGCAGATGGCCACGCCGCCCGGCACGCCCACACCAACGCCCACGCCCAGCAACAACAACAACAACAACAACAACAGCACTTGCCAGAACAACAACAACAACAACAAGCAGAGCCTGCGCCTGGACAAGACCGGGCCCGACTGGCGCCTGCAGAAGGATAAAATGGGCGATGCCACGATGCCCACAGCGACAGCAGCCGCCTTTGGCATGGCCAGCGGCGATCTGATTGGCAATCTGCTGGGCATCAGCGACCAGGGCATACTCAATAAGCTGCTCTCCTCCGCGGACGAGGCGGCCAAGCTGCTGGGCGTGGAAAAGTAAGTGCGAAGCGCAAGTGCAGAAAAAAAGAAAAAAACAGCAGCTAGTCAAAAGCAAAAAAAAAAAAACACACACACACACAAACAACATTTAACGTTGCCAGATTACGAAAAGTTACCGGTTCAACTCAACAGTAGCCAGCTCAGTAGTCGTAGTCCTTAGTCCAACTTGCACCACATGAACTTTGGCCTTACGAAAGCATGTGAAAAATCACATACAGCACCCAGCAGATAGCAAACATCATGTTTCTTCTTCTTGCTCTCTCTCTCTCTCTCTCTCTCTCTCTCTCTCTATTCTTTCTCTTCCTTTCTCTTCCTTCAGCGAACTGTCGTTCCACACATACCAAAGCCTTCATGTTTTTTTTTTGTTTTTTTTTTTTGAGGTTATTTTAAACTCGTTTTAAAACTAAAAAGTAACACGTTTTTTTTTTTGTAGTGTAAGCGCTTTTTTGTGTAATTTTGTGTAGCGGTACAACCGAACGTTTTACAACACTGCAAAGGCAGTGAAACATTTTGAGAACGAAAACATGACAAGCAAACGTTGTCCAGCACTGCAACTGCAGTTGACAGTTTGCAAAACGAAATCATGTTAAAACGCAAACCTTTTCCAACACTGCAACTGCAGTTGACAGTTTGGGCGGCGAAATGAAACATTTAGAAAATGCAACATGACAAAACTTGCCGAAAACGCAAACGTTTTCCAACACTGCAACTGCAGTTGACAGTTTGCAAAACGAAAGCAAAACGTTTTCCAACACTGCAACTTGCTGTTAACAGTTTTGGGCAACGAAATGAAACATTTTGAGAACGAAAACCATGTCAACAAATTAATCAAAAACAACGCAGAAATAAGTATACCTTTTTTTTCAACACTCCCCCCCCCCCCCCCTCTATTTTTTACGTAATATTAGTATTAAAATTTAGGTCTACAACGAACACAAATAATGCTTAAAACAAGACTTAAGTTAAAAGTAAAACAAAAAATAATATTAATAATGATAAGTCTAATAAATCTGTACAAGAAATTTGCCTTCGTAGTGCTCTTCTTTTTTTTTAGATATAAAGATACAGATACATATATAGATATATATATAATATAATCGCATGTTTAACGGGAGGAAACAAGTTATTGTAAATTGAATGAGGCCTTGAACCGCAGCGTGGCTTAATGAAAAAAAACAAAAAAGCAAATGCAATCAAATGCATTCCATATTAACTATATAGAACTCTAGTCTTAAGAGCTTTTTTTTTTTATATACACCCATAAATATATTACCCATATATCATACTATATTCATAACAATATAACTATTATAAAAGATTGAAAGAAAAAAAAAACTCACTGGAAAAGCGAAATATTTTGCTGTAGCTTAAAGAGATTTTCAAAAAAAAAAAAACTAATTTTAAATTCTTATATGCATATATGTATATATAAATATATATTTGTATATATTTATATATATATATATATATTATCCTATAGTAGAGCAAATCGTATTTAATAGTAGTCGAACATTTTACAGCAATAACCAAAGCATTTCACCACAAAAATGACGAGTTTTCTAACTAATTGACTTGAAAAGCGAAAGAGAAACAAACAAAATTATTGAACAAATTAAATTATATACTTAGCGTTTATGTACTTAATAAATTAATTAATTATTTACGACGATAATTGATATGACAATGAAAATCAAATAAATACGTTGCGATCAAAAATAAACAACAACAACATCTTTCACTTTCACCCCAAAATCAACAGCATTCCCTGAAACGAGTGAAATGGAGGAGAAATGGTTCAAAAAGCATTCCACACTAATTACGTCTAGTTTAAACTATATGAAAATTTTAGGTACTTCAAAATTAAAATTGTCCTTATGTGCGTGAACCCATGTACCATTGGGAAATTTTGACCTATGCCTATATATTATATTGGGGGTACGATTTTCACATGAATTTTGACCCAGAATAACGTTGCCAGATTAAGATGCCAAATTGTTATAGAGGCCAAACCATGAACAAAAGGCCAAACTTTATGAAAATCGGATGAGATTTGACCGAGTTATGGGGTTGGGAAATTTTGACCTATGTCTATATATGTGAGACTTGCGGGTGTACGCCCCTTGCCTGAGGCACTTAAAGATGACATCTCACGTTGTATTCATTACGTTCTTATGAAGGGATTTGAAAATAGGTTTGAAGCAAATCGGACAATACTTAAAACAATCTCTAACAAGTAAGAGGTTCTAGTCGGGAGCTCCCGTCTAGGGGATACCCTGAACCCTCTTCTTCCGATAGGCGATAGGTATTAAATAAAAAATACTATATATATATATGTATATATACTATTCTAGAAGCTACATGTCAAGTTTGGTGAATCTAGCTCAAATTATTTGCCGAAATTGCTTAAAAAACAGGATTTCGATATCGATTACTTGGAAACGGGGCAAGATATCGAATATCGGAAACAAACTCGATCTGCGCGGGTACTAGGAGGACCTATAGCTAAAATTTCAAGTCTCTAGCTCTTATAGGTTCTGAGATTCTTGCGTTCACACATACAGACAGACAGACGGACATGGCTAGATCGACTCGGCTTGTGATGCTGATCAAGAATATATATACTTTATGGGGTCGGAGATGCTTCCTTCTGCCTGTGACATACATTAGCACAAATACATAATACCCTGTTTACCCATTTTTAATGGGTTCAGGGTATAAAAAGGAAATGCTCCGTCTCTCATAATCTCTGAGATCGACGGACGAACATGACTCGATCTGCCCGGATATATTTCCTTATGCCTGTTACAAACGTGCCCCCTAAACACAGTATACCCTGTCTAACTGTACACATAGGGTTCGGCTGCTGGGCATAGGAATCCATTAAAATTATGCCTAAAAGTAAACTTCACTTTTTCGAATGCCGCTTGAAAGTATGCTAAGGACTTTTTTGAATAACAGTAGTTGAGCACTCGAATATATATACATATATATATTTAATATGCATTAATATGCATTAATATGCATTAATATGCATAGATATTAAAAATGATTATGGTTTAATAGTTATAGCAGTAAAATGTTAGTTGTATAAGTGTAGCAATACCTACATATGTATGTTAAAATGTGCGCATAAGTAGAAGTAGAAGTCGAAGTATAAGTTGACGTATAAGTAAATAACATAAGCGTTTACTTATACGCATGTAAATGCCCAATTACTCAATTAAATAACTCTTATACATATGCACACACATACATGCACACATCAACATATGATTTGAATTTTACACGTGCCAGCACGTGTATGTATGCGTGCGTGTGCGCAGGAAAAGATAAATAAATAAAATATATACATACATGTGCGCGCATACTTGAGCATATAAATCTATGTGTGTATGTATGTGCCTACAAACGTCGCAAAAACAAACTCGCGCAAAGACACACACACACACACACACAAGCGAGCCCCCAACGAATTAAAGTAAAGCAACAACAATAACAGCTGCTGTTTCAAGTTCTTGGTTACACATACGCACACACACGCACACAAACACACACACAGATGCGCCTGTATGTAAGTATGTGCGTCTAATATAGTCGCCCGACCGACCGTCCGTTCGCCGGCTTCGCCCGTTTGCTGCCCGTTGCCGCCGCGTCGTATATCAACAATCACACCACACACGCGCGCTGCGGGCCACAACTTGGCACAGCCTCAGCTTTTGCTTTCAGTTCTAGTGAGACCATCGGTTGGGCCAGCCGCAACAGCAGACAGCAGTAAAGCAGCAAAGCGCGATTCCAGCCCCAGCGTCCATTATCCAGAATCCCTGACCTTACACTTCAACAACCTGTGGAAGATGTCCTTTGTGCGTCTAATTGGTGCTGAGGTAAGAAATTCAATTAGCCCTATAAACACTTATCGATAACTATTGAAATTTGTGGCGCAGTGTTGGATAGTTTATGGGGGCGTGCAATTGATGGTGCATTGCCATCTGTGTGTGTGTGCATGCAAATTACAACGTTCCAATGCACGTGCATGCATGTGTGTGTGGGTGTGCTGTGTGGGGCCGTAAATTGCCTTATAAAACCGCCAAAACGTGGAAAACAAAATTAATGACAATTTGATAGAGCAAACGTGTTACGTAATTTGGGCTTGCAACGTTTCAGATAATACGACGATCACAATAACAGAAATTAGTTGGTGGGCACAACAGACACACACACACACACACACACATGGGCGCATGTATATGTATGCAAATGTAACTGCAATTGTATTTTAATTAAGCGGCAAGCCATATAAATGCGTACCAAACAGGAGGCTGCTGCTGGCGCTGATAAGCGAAGGCGTGGCACGCAACTCTTCCTTATACATATATACTTGCATACATGCGCGCGCGTGTGTGTGTGTGCATATATTATCATGTTGCCAGGCACTGCCCAGCTCACCTGTAGAATTTTCCATTCAAGGCAAAGAAATAAAACACTTGACATGGCAGCTTAAATATATATATGTACATATACCTATATGCATGTATACATATATACAGTGAAGCCTGTTCATGTTGACCAACGATCGCAAGCGCAGTTGCCTTCAGAGAATAAACCATTTACGCAACTTAACTGCGCCACAAGACTTTCAGTATCGATATATCGATAAAAAAAAACATATATATATATGTAAATAAACGGACAAGTTGGCTTGCAGTTGCAGGCACATGAAAAAATAAAGTAATTTACAAATTCACCTCTTTAAAATGTACCATTTTTATACGAATATTTTTAATTCCCTGCATGGGACATTTTTAGCATATCCCCACCCCCCTCTCTCACCCTAAGAATGGGCAGCAAGCAAGGTTGCCATTTGACAAAATTAATTTGTACTAAAAATTGGAGGAAAAAAAATATGTTGCATCCTCTTTTAATGCCTTTTCAATATATATATAGTATAGGAACTAAGCTAGGCTGGCTATCGAAAAAACTGTACCAAAATATAAAAAGTTCAATATTTATATAAGCACTTTGCCTGTACTTATATTTCCTGTGCTTAACATCTTGAAAATTAAAACAAGATTAAATGTTTTCTTTAAGTGAATAGAAAGTAGACATAGCTTATTTGTTATGTCACCCAAAATTTTTTGCACCATAGAACGATTTTGAAGCCATAAAAATTGAACTTGAATTAAAATATGTACCAAATGTGACACTATAAAAAAATGTCCTTAGTCATGGGACATTTTTAGCGCAAGCTGCAGTCGTGCACTTGCATATTTTTTGGCCTCCATTAGAAAAATTTTTTTTTTTAAATAAAAATAATTTTTTTAAAAGAGGGTATAAATAAATAAATTACCTTTGGTACATTTGTGGCCCATGTGGCAACCTTTGTGGAGGGGTCAATTTGCACGGCCGATCTGCAGGCAATTTCCTACCGATATATCGATAACATTTCGAAATGAATATTTGCAGGCACGCCTGATAGCCAAACGTGGCTACTCGTCGTCCGCGCCCACAACGAAGCTCTTCATCGATGGCAAATTCGTGGAGTCGAAGACAAGCGACTGGATCGATGTGCACGATCCGGCCACGAACAAGGTGGTGACCCGTGTGCCCAAGGCCACGCAGGAGGAGATGAAGACCGCTCTGGAGTCAAATAAGCGCGCCTTCAAATCATGGAGCAGCCAGTCTGTGGTCTCCCGCCAACAGATCATGTTCAAGCTGCAGGCCCTGATCAAGGCCAACATGGGTGAGCTGGCCAAGAACATTACCAAGGAGCAGGGCAAAACCCTGGTCGATGCCGAAGGCGATGTCCTGCGCGGCCTCCAGGTGGTCGAGCACTGCTGCAGCATACCCTCGCTCCAGATGGGCGAAACTGTGGCGAATGTGGCCCGCGACATGGACACCTATTCGCTGGTAATGCCGCTCGGCGTCACCGCCGGCATTGCCCCGTTCAATTTCCCAGCGATGATACCGTTGTGGATGTTCCCGGTGGCCATTACCACCGGCAACACGATGCTGCTGAAGCCCTCGGAGCGTGTGCCCGGCGCCACCATGCTGCTGATGGAGCTGCTCAACGAGGCCGGCTGCCCACCGGGCGTCGTCAATGTCATCCATGGCCAACACGATGCCGTCAACTTCATTTGCGATGCGCCCGAGATCAAGGCCGTCTCCTTCGTTGGCTCCGACACGGCCGGCAAGTACATCTACGAGCGCGCCGGCAAGAATGGCAAGCGTGTCCAGAGCAACATGGGCGCCAAGAACCATGGTGTGGTGCTCAGCGATGCCAACAAGGAGAATACGCTCAATCAGCTGGCGGGCGCCGCCTTTGGCGCTGCCGGACAGCGCTGCATGGCCCTGTCGACGGCTGTGTTTGTGGGCGGGGCCCAGCAGTGGATACCCGATCTGGTGGAGCGCGCCAAGAAGCTGAACGTGAACGCGGGTCATGTGCCCAACACAGATGTGGGACCCGTGATCAGTGCCGCCTCGCGCCAGCGCATCAACGAGCTGATCGAGTCCGGCGTGAAGGAGGGCGCCAAGCTGATCCTGGACGGACGCAAGATCACGGTGCCCGGCTTTGAGGATGGCTATTTTGTCGGCCCAACCATCTTGACCGATGTCAAGCCGCACATGAAGTGCTACACCGAGGAGATCTTTGGCCCCGTGCTAATCATCCTTAATGCCGACACCTTGGACGAGGCCATCTCGATTGTGAATGCCAATCCGTATGGCAATGGCACCGCCGTCTTCACCACCAACGGCGCCGCCGCCCGCAAGTTCGTCAACGAGATCGATGCCGGCCAGGTGGGCGTCAATGTGCCCATCCCTGTGCCGCTGCCCATGTTCTCGTTCACCGGCACCCGCGGCTCCTTCCGCGGCGATCATCATTTCTATGGCAAGCAGGGCGTCAAGTTCTACACACAGACCAAGACCGTTACCCAGCTCTGGCGTGAAACCGATGTCACCCACACTCAGGCGGCCGTGGCCATGCCTACCATGAAGTAGACAGACAGACACACACACACACACACACACACACCCGATGCACAGGTGGAGTTTGAGGTGTGCGTGAGTTGGAAATTGCTGCATTTATTTTCTGTGCCCATTAGAATTAAGCTATATGTTAAACTGATAAAAAAAAAGAACGTGTATAATAAATTGTTATAAAAAAACGGTAAATGCGTCGCAAATTCAGATTATCGATAACTATCGAGAGCCAAGAAAAGATCGTTTTCGTGACCGGGCACGAAAGTGGCAACGCCTGCCTGATTATGTCCAGCAAGGACTTTTCCCATATTTCGAAATTTCATATGAAAAAAAATATAAATATTACAAACAGCTGATAACATAAATGCATGTGCTTATGCATATTTTCAGCTGGTTGGGTAATTTATAGTTGCGTAACTAGATATATAAATATGTTCATTAATATATCTCAGCGCCATTATGACAAGCGAATGTTGAGCAAAGAATTTGTAATTCCCTAATGTTAATTTTTATATGAAAATATGAGAAAATTATGCAAGACAAATGCTTTGCATGCACATGCTTACACATGCAAATGTCTTAATTGATGTATGTATATAGTTTGCCAGTGTTATTATCGTTAAAAGGAAAGTCTGGCAACGCTTGCGATCGTTGTGCAAGGACTTTTGAATTATTTTCTTAACTGCTTTTCAGGTACTTGAGAATTGAAAAAAAAAAAAAAGAATTTAATAAACTTACGACATTTATGCATGTTAAACATGGGTGTAAAACAACTTATCTATTTATTTGCTATCAAAACCGCTAACTTTAACATTTACAATTTGGTTTGTTGCCTGCTTAAAAAAACATTTTGTTGCATTAACCATAGTTATCCCTAACACCTGCCTCAAGGCACAAAAGACCAGCAATCGGTGACCTTAGCCAACCGATATCGCAGTCAATATTGAGGCCTAGATAATAATAAGATTGTGAACACATGAGTCGCATTCTGGCCGCGCCTTCTAAACAAATCTTAGCTGCCCCAGTGGTCGTTGTCCTTTTGCGAGCGACTGCCGCCAAATGCCTGCTTGGAGACCAGCTCGCGGAAGGCGCCATCTTGCCGGCTCATCAGATCGTCGTAGTTGCCCTCCTCCACAATTCGCCCGCCATCGAGCACGGCAATCTTGTGGGCTTTGTGTATCGTGCTCAGCCGATGGGCAATTGTCATCACGGTGCGTCCCTCGATCAGCTTGTCCAGCGCCGTTTGCACCAGCTGCTCGGAGACGGAGTCCAGCGCACTTGTCGCCTCATCCAGCACAAGTATGGTGGGATTCTGTTCGGCATGTAAATGGGATTAGAATAGAATAGTACGAATTTGTATATTTTGCAGGCACCTTGATGAGCGCCCGGGCAATGGCCACGCGCTGCTTTTGGCCACCGCTGAGGAGCATGCCCCGTTGGCCAACGATCGTTTCGAGGCCGTCGGGCAGCTGGTTGGCAAACTCGATGACATGCGAATCGTGAACCACCTGCTGGAGCAGATCCTCGTTGGGCTCCTCGCCCGGATGGAGGCCGTATAGAATGTTTGAGCGTATGGAGCCGGAAAATAGCACCGGCTCCTGGCTGACGGCGCCGACATTGTGTCGCAGCCACTGTGGATTCAGCGTACGCAAATCGACGCCATCCAAATAGACGCCGCCCTGCTGTGGATCGTACAGACGCATCAGCAGCAGGGCCATTGTCGACTTGCCGGAACCGGAGCGACCCACCACCGCCGTCGTCTGGTTGGGCAGCAAGGTCAGCGAGAAATCGGTAAGCACTTTGCTTTCCAAACGCGATGGGTAGCTAAAGTCGACGTTCCGGAAGGTGATCTCGCCAATGGGCTTCGTTGTCGGCACATCGCCCTTGTCCAGCGGTATCGCGAACTCCCTGTCCAATATCTCCCAAATACGTTCCGATGCGCCGATGCCCTTGTTCAGGTGGCTATAGAAATTGGAGAGGCCGTTCATGGCGACGGCCACATAGCCGGCGTACAGCATAAACGCGGTCATCGCGCCAATGGTTAGCTCATCGTTGAGGACCAGGGTGCCGCCATAGTACAGCACCGAGATGATCACAAAGTTGCCCGAGAAGCCGGTCTGTGTGAAAGAGAGGGGCATATTAGTTGGCATAAATGGAATGGGAATGGGTCGAGAGGGCCTCACCAGGCCAAAGAACATGGAGCGGGCTTTGGTCTCCTTGTAGCCAATTTCTAACGCCTCGCTTAGCTTGGCATCGTAATCCTCGCACTCCTTCTGCTCGCGGCAAAACACCTTGACGGTGCGCACATTGCCGAAACGCTCCTCGGCATGCTTCATTATCTCCGCATATTTGTCCAGCTCCGAGCGGGTTATGCGCCGCACATAGCGGCCATAAACGATGGCAATGCCCGCCAGAGCGGGCACCACCAGGGCACTGACCAGCGTCAGCTTGGCCGATGTGAAGATCTGTGCGAAGTACATAATATTATAATAATATTTAACGAAATCCTCGCGGACCTGTTGGAATCATACCCACCATCATGCAGGAGCCAACGCTTATCATGGCCAGGGAGCGCAGGCCATCGGATATATTCTGACTCAGCGAGATGCCCACAAAGTAGGTGTCGTTGCTCAAGCGATTGATGAGCTCGCCGGTGCCGCGCGTATCGTACCAGCCCACCTCCTGCATCAGCATGGCGCGATACAGATCGGAGCGCAGCCTTCGGACAATGCGCAGAGCTGTGGGGGAATACGAAACGAATTACCCAAATCGATTTGCATGGGAATTGGGCTGTCCGCTCACCTGCCGAACCGAACATGTAGACGCGGGCAAAGTTGGCAAAGCCGCCAATGACAAAGATCCAGAAGAGCGTCATGATGTAGTCCCGCAAATCCTTCAGCACCGGCGCATCCAGTCCATCCTTGTTGAACACAATGTCTATGACCTTGCCCAGAAAGAAGGGTATGCTCATGGTAATGCCCGAGGAGATGATCAGACAGGTCAGGCCGACTGCAACAGGGAAACAACATGAGAGCTGCAGATTAAGCTGGAGATTCAGATTACACCGGCCATACATAAGAGCGACCACTTCTCGTTCCTGATCAGATGGATGAGACGCTTGTACTCGGATCTGGCCAGCTTGAATAGCGAGGGCTGCGCCTCCACCTTGGCCACCAGCGCCTTGCCATTCGACTTGCCGCTCAGGCAGCGTCTCACGGTGAGCACACGCCCCGCCCACCTGGAGCCGAGCAGCTGTCGCTTTGCCGCCGCCGTCGCCGGCGGCCTTATGTTAAATAGATGATGATGGGGACGCCGCAGCAGCAGCAGCGGTTGCCTCAATAGACTGTTATATATGCTATACGGGCTGACTGTCAACCTCGGGCCCGCGCAGGGCAGTTGGGAGACTCGTAATGTTGTGCACATGTGCTTCAGTCGGGTGCAGTTCAACAGCATTGTGAGTTCTATTCAAATTCTTGACTATTTCAACACAAGAAAAACGTCCAGAACAACTTTGATGTAACGCGACAAATCGCACATACATACATATGTGTATATATGTATATATCTTAAAAGAGAAATGAAAAAAAAATAAACTCGTGAATTTCGACCCCCGCACAAAGCCCACAAAACCAACCAAATCAGCTGGTCGGCTGCCATGCATCATGAAACTTTGAAGGTTGCACACAGCTAGCAAAGCGATATTAATCAGTGCTGACTAAAGTTTGTGACGTCAGCGCACACTTGATGTGCGATTTGCATCATGAAACTTTGAAGGTTGCACACAGCTTGCAATGCGACATTAATCAGTGTTGACTAAAGTTTGTGACGTCGGCGCACACTAGATGTGTGAAATTTGCACACAACTAGCGATGCGATATTAATCAGTGTTGACTAAAGTTTGTGACGTCAGCGCACACTTGATGCAACATTTATATTTGTATATATATAATTGTTTTTCTTAGAAGAAAAAAGTAATCCAATTTAAAAACGTATTGTAATTAAATACTCCTTAGCAAGAAAATATTGAATAATAAATAGAAAAATATTAATAATTGTTACTTAATGGCAAAAGGACATATACTCGACCGGCTTTATATTGTGTTACCTTCACAGCAAAAAAAATTCGATAGTGTTGCCACATCGATTAATCGATAACAGCCGATAGCGCAACACGTGCGCAACCGCAATCGTAAATGAAATTTGTATTTTGATTTTATTTGAAGCCGCAACATGGAAATAGGCGAAGGTAAGCTGCACGCCAAGCGCACAAGTAAATAAATAAATATACAATAAATATAAAATTGCAGAACTGCGAACATGGCTGCAGGACAAGAGCAAAGCGTACACGGCACGCCTGGAATTCTCAATTAAAGTCTGGCAATCTCTGGACTTCGTTTACATCAACAAGCACGAAGTCATTTGCCAATGGCTCGCCGAGACGCTGGCAGAGCAGACGGAGGCCGAGCTGCCCGTGGCACAGCTTCAGCAGCTGTTCAGCCTGCGCGCCCAGCCGGGCCTGGTGGGCGTGGCCACAAAATCGTCGCTAATTCAAGCGCTCCTCGAACGCATCCGGAAAGCTGCTCCCGAAGCTGCACAGGCGCATCCTGAACTGCTGCAGCGCCTGATCAACTTTGAGCTCGTGCAGGATGCACTGCGCGCCGACTACGAGCTGCTCATGTCCTGCTACGGCACGCTCTTCACCTGCTACGAGCGACAGCTGCTGCGTCCCGATGCACAACAGCAGGAACATCAGCAACAGCGGCATGCGGACTTTGTGCTGCCCCTGCTGCAGCAGCTGCGCGACTACGTGCAGCGCGCCCAGAATCACGAGCGCCTGCTCCAGGCCTACACGACGGCGGCGCTGCAGCCGCTCTGCCAGCTGTTGCTGCAGCTGCGCGAGCACGGACTGTGCTGCTTCGAGCAGCTGGCGGCATTGGAAGCGCAGCTCACCGAGCAGCTGAAGACGTCCAGCGCGACCAAGCGGATGTCCGAGCAGCCCCTGCATGTGCATCTGCTCCTGCTGGAGTGCGCGCTGCTCACCCATCGCTACGATCCCTCCAAGCAGCACAAGCTGATGCAATACGTGCTCAAATGGAAGCAGACGGAGACGGAGATCGAGCAGGAGCAGGAAACAGAGCCTGATACGCATCCATTGGCGCTGCTGCTGACCACACACGCGCTGGAGTCGCTGCGAAAGCACAACATTCAGCTACAGTTTCCCGACAAGCTGAAGCAAACGGCTCTCAGCTTTGTGGGCGACCATCTGTTCCTACTGCTGCGCCAGCATCGGGCGGAGCATCTGCGCGAGGTTCTGCAGCTGCTCTGCGCGGCGCTGCGTCTCAATCCGCTGCTGATCCAGCCGCATGTCTATCAGTTCACCGTCTGGATGATGTGCGGTGCGCCCAAGCAGAACGCTCTCGAGCTGCGCCTGTACTCGGAGTATCTGGTCCTCCTGCTGGACATGTGCCGGCGTCTCAGCCACACCGAGCGCTTTGTGATGCAGCTGCTCAAGTCGCTGCGCGAGTGGCTCCACAAATTCGAGCTACCCGCGCTGCCCGGCAGCGGCGGCGGCGGCGAGTCCAAGCGCAGTCGTCAGAGTCTGGAGCAGGCGCCGGAGCAGCTGGACAACGGCAGCTATGTGCAGCTCCTACTCAAATACGCCACGAACAGCTCCAGCTCCAGCTCAAGCTCAAGCTCCAGTTGCTCGGAGCGTCTGGCACAGACCTGGCCCAGCCACTCGGCGGGCGCCGCCTTCATCCGGCTCGTCAGCCAGCTGATGTTCAAGCCCTCGCTGGCCATTTGGAAGATGCTGCTGTTTAGCTTTGCCGAACTGCTCGAGCCCGAGACGAACGCCGTCCTGGCCCCGAATCTGAGCTTTGCCATCGAGCTGCAGGCAACGCTGCTCTCACAGTATCTGCTGGGCACGCGCATGGCGGAGCAGGTGCAGCATCATCAGCCGGAGCTCGAACAGCAGCGCCAGCATACGGTCCAGGTGCTCCAGCAATTCGGACGCTATCTGCTCGCCCGCGAGCACAATCGACGCACCATGAACGTGTTCCTCGAGTGCGTGGAGCGCGCGAACAGCTTCGAGCTGCTGCTCGCCTACTACTGGCCGGACGGACTGGCGCGGCCGCAACCAATTGAGGAGCTGCCCCAGCTGCATCGCTTTCTGTCCAGCGACGAGTGGGAGCTGATCCAGCAGCGTGTCCACAATTTCGGCAAGTCCCTTTGCCGGCAGCGATTGCAGCGCCTGGAGCTGCAGCTGGCCCAGAGCGGCTGGCTGCTGTTGCCCAATCGGCGCGAGGAGCCCTGCCCGGATGCACTTGTCCAGCTGCTGCCGTGGCAGCTCTCCATGCATCTGACGCGCGACCAAAAACAGCTGCGTCTGCAGCAAGCCGGCGCCGAGCAGCAGCTGGCCGCCAATCTGCCAGAGGACGCGGAGTGCGTGGAGCTGCTGGCGCTGCAGCTGCTCGAGGAGTACGCCGCCAGCCTGAAGCTGGCCAAGATCAAGGGCGCGCTGCTCACCAAACAGCTGCCCCAGGCCGAGCACGAGTCGGCCCTGGCCCAAACGCTGAGGCAGCACTGCGCCAGCAGCAAGCGGCCAGCCCTGCCGGAGGAGGCCACGCGCCACCTGGTCGAGGCACTGCAGCAGCTGCCGCTCGCCCAGCTCCAGAGCGGCATCAAGTTGCGGCTCTTTCTGCTCATCTTCACCCTCTACCAGGATGTGCGGCGCGACCAGCTGACACAGTTGGCCAACCAGCTGCTCGAGCAGCTTATCGGTGAGTTTTTTTTGGGAATATCCGACTGGCGTATACCCTGTAAGCCGCCTAGCTGATTGACCATCAAGGCACAGCTGCATTTTGCACAGTAGTTAGTGGGAAATCCGTCTGACTAATACCCTGTAACATGCATAGTGATCTGTTCCTTCTGATTGATTAACTGTGATTGATTGATGTGCAATTCATAGTCCCAATCGTTAGAACTAGATAGCTAGTTGGTGGGAAATCCGACTTGCATATACCCTATAAACTGCACCATAATCTGTTTCTCCAGATTGATTAACTCTGATTGACTGATTGATTTATATGCAATTCATAGTCCCAATCGTTAGAACTAGATAGCTGCATTTTCACAGTAGCTTGTAATAATGTCCGACTAGCATATACCCTCTAAACTGAATGTCAACTGGTTGACTTACTGACTGATTAAGTGATTGACTGATTGATGATCAATGCTCGGTTAAATTATTTCACATTAGCTATCAGACTATCAGACTGACTGACACCCTGTAACCTGCATTGTATCTGTCTCCTGATTGACTAACTGTGATTGACTGATTGATTAATATGCAATTGATGATAAATCAGTCAGCTGCATTTTTTCATATCAACTAGCAGAATATCCGACTGACTGCTACCCTGTAACCTGCATATTATTCTGTTTCTCCTGATCGACTAACTGTGATTGACCGCTTTAATTGATGGATGGCCCAAATCGTCAGAGGCAATTGTATTTTGAGCTGAATATGTCACAGTAGTTGGGTGAGAATATACGATAGGCATATATCCTATAGCTTGTATACTAAGCAGGTTGTCCTGCTTGGCCAACTGATTGATTGACTGACTGATTGAGCATCAATACACAGCTGCATAGGAGCACTTTTTATATGAGCAGAAATGATAAATGTGAAATATTTCAAGTAAGAAACTTGAAATACTCGAAAATCGTTTGGAGACTTGGTTTTTTAGGCATAACTCGAGGATTCTAATAGCTAAAGACACCAAACTTGGTATTAGGGGTCTCGTATAATTTATATAAGGAGAAACTATTTCATTTTCTTAATAACAACAATAATGTACGCTCCTCTTGCTCGCAGATCTGCTGCACTTTGGCCAGCCTCTGCCGCTGTGCAGCCACCTGCCGCAGCTGGAGGAGCTGCTGCAGCTGGTGCCCCTGGAGGGAAGCGAAGACTCGACCGCCTGGCGCTTCTATGAGACGCTCTTCGGTCGCTGCATACGCCGTCTGGCGCCGGGCAGCGATGCCTTTCTGGTCAGCTGTGCTGCGCTGTTCCGCGAGCAGGCGCAGCTGTCGCCGGCGCATTGGCGCCTGCTGCTGCTGGCAATCGAGACGCTGGCGAGCGCGACGGGCGTGCTGAACAGACGGATGCAACGGTATCTGCAGCCGCTGCTCGAGATCTATGGAAAGTTTGTGGCGCACAAGTTCCGATCGCACAAGAAGCCGCCGGCTGTCTACAAGGACTTTGTGCAGCAGACCCTCAGCGGCTATGCCATCTATCTGAGCAGCTGCATCAATCGCGCCGCCAAACAGCAGCGGGACGAGGAGGCGGCCGAGAAAACACAAACGAGCGAGTCTTCCGTACAGCCGATCGATGAGAACTTTCGGCGCATCTGCAAGATTTACATTGGACACTCGGTAGGTCTAATAACATTAACTCGATTACATATGTATGTTAACGAGACCTAACATGTTGCTGTTAACATGCGGCTGTTAACTCCATTTCGATAACATTTTGATGCCAAGCTCTGAAATTGTTCTTGATCTACAGCTGTTAACTATTATATAACGCATAGAAGCTACCAATTTGGGTCACACCTGTCGTATCTGATCGATCTGGTCACATTTTTAAATCCCATCTATCTAGCATTAAAAATGCAAGTTGTAGGAGAACTGGCGAAAATCTAATGATTGGGGCTTTTGCCCAAGAACATTACCTCGATAACATATGTTAAAGCAAGGGCTAACATTAGCTGGTTAACATGCGGCTGTTAACTCCATTTCGTTAACATTTGTATGCTAACCTCTGGAATTTGTTATTGCTTTTATGTAACACTTAAAAACTAAACTTTTTGGTCACACTTGGGGTATTTGATCGAACTGGTCACATTTTGAAATCCCGTCAGGATCCATCGTGCTTAGGCGAAAGTCTTTTGGTTGTCCAAACTCTTTTCTTGTAAAAGCTGCATTATTAGCATATGCCGTTCCCTTGAGGATATACCGTTACCTTGACCATTTACCGTTAGCTTAAGCATTTACCGTTACATTGACCATTTACCGTTAGCTTAAGCATATGCCGTTAGTAAAGCCAGCTAGAGTTAGGTTAGATTCGAATTATAACCTCAAACTTGCTTGCTCGCAACTATTATATAATTTCAGTTACTTTCTCTTCTTTTGTGGCAGCTCAATTATCGCAATGCACATGCGATACGCCTGCTGAATGTGGCCCTAACGCATCGTCAGCTGCTGCATCTGGACCAGGACGAGATTGAGTTTGTGCTGGACAGCTATTGGCGCCAGCTGAACGCGGACATTGCGTCCGAGTCGGCGCTGGACATGGCCAGCATTGAGCCGGCCGTCAAGCTAATAATTGGCTACAAGACCAACGAGGATTTTCTGCTGCTGTTGCGACGCCTCAGCCAACAGCTGGACGGGATGCAGCGGCCGGAGACGCGTGCCGAGCACACGAGCCTACAGAATGTCCTCGTGCTGGTCACATTGATCGCCAAATGCTCGCTGAGCAGCATCAAGGGCGCGGTAAGCCAAACAAGAAGAAGAATCTATCAATAAATCTTTAACTGATATTCGGACACTTTTTGCCAGATGCTCAACGAGCACTTTGAGCTGATCAGCGGCAATGTGTCGCTGCGTCTGCCGCCGCCGAGCGATGCCGCCTACTGCGGCCATGTGCTGCGCCTGCTGGAGGCACAGCGCGCCCTGGCCGGCAACCGGACCGTGCCGCTAACCGGCGAGACGCTCGACTCCCTGCTGGCCAGCATGCTGGACATCAATATCAAACGCTTCATTGTCGCCGGCGGCAGCTGGTTGGATTTCCGGCAGCTGCATTCGACGCTCGCCGAGAATTGCCTGCTGCTGTTGCGCCAGCAGGCGGCGCTCATGTCGGATCGTGCGCCGCAGCTGACGGCGCTCTGCCAGGATCTGGTGCAGTCGATTGTCTGCTATCGCAGCGAACGCAAACAGGCGCAGAGCCTGACCGATGAGGAGCTGGACGGACTGTCGGAGCTGGCGCTCAAATTGGTCACGCTCATGGCTGGCATTGCCGCTGGCCCGCAGGCGCTGGCCATGAAGCGTGTGGCGCCCTTTTTGCTCATCTTTACCATCAAGCAAATGATTGCCACCGAGCGGCCCACCACGCTCTTCGAGAAGGTAAGCGAGCGGGAGCGGGAGCGGGAGAGCGAGCCCAGTCAAGCGACTAAGTTTCTTTCTTCTTGTTTTAGGTCAAGCTGCATCTGGATCGCTTCTGCCATGAGCTGATCGGCATTTGTGATCATCGCGCCGGACACTTTATATTGCGCGCCAGCAGCGAGGCGGGCGCCCGCATGTACCAGAGCCTGGTCAAGGAGCACGACAAGTATCACAAGTTCCGCGGCAAGGTCTAGGCAGGAACAACTCGCATTTTTCTACTCTAAAGTTAGTTGGTTTTTTATTATTAAATATTAATAAATGTGATTTACATGAAATAATTGCAAAATCTTTTTTCGGTTTCTGCTTTACAGTGCGCCCCATTTCTGGCAGTCAAGCGTTGTGCAGTGCGGCCCATTTGCATTTAAGAGCTTGACTTGAGAGGGAGTACTTCGGTTGCGCCTTTTTTTTTCTACTCTAAAGTTAGTTGTTTTTTTTATTATTAAATATTAATAAATGTGATTTACATCAAATAATTGCAACATCTTCATTGTTTTGTTGTGTTCGTACATTTTTGATTTTGTTGTGTTTGTTTTGTTTTCGTTTTGTTTTTTTTGTGTGTGTGTAAAAGTCTCTCTTTTTGAACTGTGCCCATGATTTAAGCTTGCGAGCAGGCAACACAGCCTAAGGCAGTCGGCGAGAGCTTTACAGTGTGTTGCAGTGCGCCCCATTTTGTTGTTGTTTGTTTGCAATCAAGAGTTGTGCAGTGCGGCCCATTTAAGAGCATTTAAGAGCTTGACACAGTGCGCCCCATTTTAGCAATTAGACGAATTCAGACATTTCGATGTGTGTTCTTTATCGTTGGATTCCATTTGATGTGGATTTAGTTTTGTTTTGTTTTGTTTTGTTTGGTTTGGTTTTGATTTGATTTGAATGATGATTTGATTTGAATTGAATTTGGATTGGAAATTTGTTGTTCGTGTTTGATGATTGCGTTTCAATAAGCGTGCGTGTTGTGTTTTGTGTGCGTGAAATGTGTTCTTAGCTCGAACTGTGCCTGGGAAGTTTCTTTGGCTTCAAGGCAGCTGCACAGCTTTTATGATGGTTAGCGACATTGGCAAAAGATGTTGTTCGTATATATATATACATATATAAATTATTTGATGATAATGAGTCCTTTTCTACTGGTTACCATGTTTTGTACTTGTTTCCATTCTATATATCTCTGGCTCAATATTTGATAATTCATGTATCAGGTAGCGTTCGTGTGCGTCTGTGTGTGTGCGCGAGTGCAAGCCTTGCTTGTGTTGGTGTTGTGTGTGCGTGTGTGTGGGTGTGTTGAGCCTTTTTAGGCGACAAACATTTGGCAGACCTCGCACAATGGATGTTCAGCTTCCTCCGGACGATTGCCGCTGCACAAAAATAAAGTGAAAATAATGTTAGATGGCAACGCTGTCAATGGTTTCGAACAAAAAGGGGGGCAGCACTTACAACAGGGTGACACAGGTGCGGCAAATAAATTGGCTGCACTCGACGCACGAATAACCGCACTCCTCGCACAAATCGAACGTACAATTAACGCAAGTGCCGCGTATAAGAGTCGGCCGCTGGCAGCAGGTGGATAGACGTCGCTCCAGGCCCGGATTGGCGACATCCGGATTCATGTCGCGCAATATGATATTACCGTCGCCAATCAGCTGATATTGTTCGCACAAATTGTGCGAACTGGCGGCAACCGGCGCCTGCAGCTGCTGCTGACTGCTCGCCTCCTCTCTGGCGCTGGCGCTCTCCTTATTATTGGCATCCATATTGGCGGCGGCCTTGAACAGCATCTTGGTCGTTTTGTCTGTGCCCAGAAATCGCTAATCGTATCAATTTCAATTTGTCAAACTATATTTGCCCATTTTTGTACGCACCGTGCACCGCTTTCATTTTCTCTGGATCGCGCGAATCGTTGATTTTGTCATTTACCCAAACCTTGCTCTGGGTCGCATTATTGTTACTCTCATCGTCATCGGAGCGCATGCGTTTCAATGGTTTGCCTTCCATTATTTTGGTACAAAAAAAAATTACAAAAAAAAAAAAAGCCCTCTTTTTTTTTCTTTTTTTGGTTTTCTTTTTTTTTTTGTTGAGAAAAAAAAATTGTTCTCTTCTTTGAACAGCCGGCTGCTTGTTAATGTCACTGCTGCTGCAACTGGAAAGACTGATTTATTGATGACAGAGAACCCGGCTGCCAGTTGTTGGCCAGTGCTGCATTTCGCAGCTGACCCGAAAAGTGTTGGCTAATGGCCGCCGATACAATCGATAAGTGACAATGGCTATCGAAGCGCACGCATTTGCAACACTTTCGTTTCGTTTCGCTTCGTTTCGTTTCGTTTTGTTTTGAAATTCTTGTGTGCACTCACTTTGGCAAATCCGCAGTTCGGAAATTTTAGGTATTCATTTAACCTATGCTTACACCTGTTGCATCCACCGAAACGCAGCTTATGTGTGTGTGTGTGTGTGAGTGTGTGGGTGTGTGGTTGTGTGTGTTGAGATACAAAAGAATTTTGCTTAAGTTTTTATTTGTTTTATTATTCGTGTAGGTAACTCAAAATTTACAAATCGAAATGAACTTGAAATGAAATCGAAATGACTGAAGGCTGGATTATATACAATATATTCTATATATATATGTATATGTATATGGGCGCCAGCAATCCCGAGCAAGCCTACTTTGATTTCAAATTAATTTCATTAGATCGCCTTTTCTTTTTATTTTCTTTTCTTTTTGTTTCATGCCTGCATGCTCACATTTCGTTTATTTCCGTTGCGGCCCTTTACAAATTTACTGAGATGCTCGTTGTCGGCGTTGGACTTCTTCAGGAAATCTGTGGTGCCGCCCGTTGCTACCGATTTGTGCTTGTTCGTCTTCTTCTTCACGGATATATCCGACTTGGACGTTGAGGGCGTGGCCTCCTGGTAGCTATTGCTCTCCTTCCTGGCAGCCAGACGCTGCTCGGCGGCGGCTTCCCGCTTTTTACGCACCAACGCCAAACGGGCGAGATCCGCGTTGGCCTCGCTCGTCGTCTTCTGATTGGAGCTGGAGCGCGGCTTTTCTTTGGCGCGCTCGCGACGACGCTTGTCCACCAACGGATCCTCGAGTAGCCGGCTTTTGGCTTCGTCGGTTAGGAGTGCATACTTTTGGGACTTCTTGATCGGACGATTCGGATTGGAGATCTCGATCAGGCCCTCAACGGCTCCGCCCAGCTTTTTGCCCCTTGTCATCCCGTTGCCGCTCTCATTGTCTTTGTCATTGCTATTATCGTTGCTGTTATCGCCATCGAATATGGCCTCATCGATGCTCTCGTCCAAGTTGTTGCCGTCTATTGATTTTAGACTCCCTTCCAGCTCCTGCTCGCGTTGCAGTTCTTCAACCGGAGTAAACTGGCGGCTGCGCCCCTTGTGGTTTAAGAACTTACCGCGCGGCATTGCTTCCGGGACTGTTTCGTTTCGGATTCTCTTCTAAAACGGCCAGGAAAGTTAAACTTGCGTTCCGGATGGTTAAGATTTTATATTTTTTCTTTAATTTACAAGTTGAACAGCTTGACAGGACGAATCGAATTGCAAATGAGACCTAAAAACGACACAGCTTAAGCACTTCCAACCAAAATAAATGATGTTTTTCCCAAAGCTAGTTAAGAATTTAGCTGTGAGCAAACGCATTCAATCAATTTGAATTCGATAAGAAAAAGTGCATTGCCCATCGATATGCATAATCGATAGCACATTAACAGCAACTGTTCTTGCTCAAATGAGCTGTTAACGCTCATTGAACCAATTTGGTTAATGCTTGAACCAAAAGCTGCAAGATAATGTCAAATTTTTATTTTCTTTTAGTATCTTTTGAGTTAAAAGGTGAATACCTTTTCATTTCCATCTTCAAGTGAATACAAAGTGAAAATTTAATACTGTAGTAGATATGAAATGAAAGTGAACCAAGTAAATAAATTTGTTATATCAATATAAATAAATAAATTTATAAATGTTTTTATTTTCCATTTTTAATGCATCTTAAATTAATTCTAAAAACGTATTTAAATATTTCGCTCGCTCCTGCAGGAGGTTGCTTCGTATCGAAAATGTTCCGATATATCGAGGCGAAATCAAGTTAACAGCACCGGCTCATGACAGGGAATTCGACGGCTCCTTCTAACAGAGCACTTCAATTTTTAACTTTTAATAGAACCGAATTCCTCTAGCAGATCACTCCACCGTTTAACAGAGCCGACACCTAACAGAGCTGTCCGCCGTTTAACAGAGTCAACACCGTCTAACAGAGCTGACACCTAACAGATTTCTCCAGCGTTTAACGAGTACTTCACCGTTTAACAGAACTGAAGTCTGCTAACAGAGCACGTTCCCGCGTTTAACAGAGATGACGTCTTCTAACAGAGACTCCACCGTTTAACAGAACTGACTCGCCATTAAAAATCTGAAATAAGTTAAACTATCGTTAATCGACTGTGCCGTGAGCTGTAACATTTTGTGAAATTCAATTCCCAAAGCATTCGAGTTGAGCAAGCGGCCCCACAAATTCCACGTACAGTAAACACAGAGACGCGTATGCATGCAGCAGCAGCAGCGGCGGCAACAGGTAGCCACAACAACAACAATAACAGCAGCAACAGCAGCAGCAACAGCAAAACCGAACGCACAGCGTGACATTTGCAGCAACAGCTGACGCGGACGACAACAGAAGAGCAAGAGCAGAGACAACCAATCGAATTGCAGTGCACAACTGGCCTAGCTACTTAACTGATTTAAGTATTTGGAGGCATGTCTGTGGACGATAATACGCCCGTATTGCGTGGCTGCATCAAATTGCCGCTGGACAGGGACGAGCTGGTCGAGGTGACGTCCAAGGCCAAGGACTATGCGATTATGCATGGCGCTGCGATGCGTTCCAAGACCTCCTTCAGTCCGGACTCGCTAAATGTGAGTGTGTTGTTCTTTGCAAAATTGCTGCTGCTGGCGTTGCTCAACACTGGTTTTGATTACAGTTTGCGCCCTTTGTGCTGGTGCCCTCGTCCTTTCCGCGCAAGGAGTTCGAGAAGGCGATCGCCCTGCAGCCGATCATTAATCGCCTGATGCACAATGTGGCCCACGATGAGGAGTTCATAACCACAACGCTGGCGGAGACAATCAAAGTGGATGAGTTTACAGCGAATCTGTTTAATATCTATCGCAAGGTGCTCGCCCATGGCTTTACCCAGGTGAGACAGCTTATGTTCGTTTGCAATCCATCTCGACCACGACCACGCCCATCCAACCCAGCCCATTGTCAGCTTCATTCGCAGCTCATTGGCATATTTGCACCACATTCACATCCACATCCATTTCGGCACCATGTCCAATATCCAGCTTTAGGGCCCAGGCTGCTAGTGCAGGTGTTAGTGGTATTTCTCGCTTGCTCTTCCACTCTCTCTCCCACTCTCCCTCCCAGTCTCTCTCTCTTCTTGCTCTATCTCTCTGCTCATATTCATAAACGACATTGGCTCGCTATCTTATCGCCACATCATAAATCCCATGGCCAAGGTAGCCCCATCGGCTAACAGCTAATCTCAAGCGTTGCCACTTGATTTATGCGCACATCCTGGACTCGAGCACATGGCACCTGCTGCTGCTGCTGCGCTGCCGCTGTCGCTGCTGCTGCTGCTGCTGTTAATCACAACTGATTTCGATATATTTTTTAATTTTCCTTAAATTTATTAGTTTTTTTTTTTTCGCTTTCTTTCTCTCTCTCTCTCTCTCTCTCTTGTGGTGCTGCTCGTTGTTGTTATTGTTGTTCTCGCTGTTGATATGGCCCAGCTTAATGTTTTATCTATCCAAACTAAAAATAAAAAAAAAAAAACAAAAGAAAATTTACTCACGCATTGATTTGACATTTTCTGCTTTCCTCCAAAAACCAAAACCCAACCTAACAAATTGCGCAAAAACCGATTTGAATCGAACCAAAACAAAAAAACCGATTCCGAAACCGAAACCGAACCGAATATCACATCTTGTGTTGCTCGTCTTATCGTAATCGTTATCGTTATCGTAATCGTATACCGATTCACACTCTCACACACACACACACACACACACACACACTCTCGCACACACACACACACACACGCACACACCCATTCGCCACCAAAGCGCATTTCGTTGGGCATGCTGCGCAGCGATCTGATGCTGGAGTCCCGCTGCCCGGAGCTGTCGCCCCTGTTGGACTCGAGCGCTGGCGGTGGCGACGACGACGATGTGGATGCGGATGTCGAGGAGCAGGAGCAGCGGCGGGCAAACGACGCAAAGGCGAAAACCAAGGCCAAGGGAAAGTCGGCCAAAGTTGGCGGCCGCACTTCATCGGCCTATTGCTGCTGGAAACAAGTCGAGATCAATACGATAGCATCGGGTTTTGGCCATTTGGGACCAGCAAGTAAAACCATACAAAGGTGCTGTCTCACTCTCTCTCTCTCTCTCTCTCTTTCTCTTACTCTTTCTCTCACTTCTCTCTCTCTCTCTCTCTCCACCTATATATATCTCCATCATATATACACTCGCATTGCCTGTATATGCCGAAGCCTAACCAAAGCCATTCACACACAAATGTACACACACCCAGTAACACACACACACACACACAAATATTCGAAAAATAATCCATAGATCAGCTCTAGAAACAGACAATTTACAGAAACTTGGGCTGAGATACTCTATAAGATCTACATAGACTGAACGAGTACTCTGAGTACGAGAACGAGTACTCTAAGTACGAGAACGAGTACTCCAAGTACGAGAACGAGTACTCTAAGTACGAGAACGAGTACTCTAAGTACGAGAACGAGTACTCTGAGTACTCTGTAGAATAGATGGGTATACTCGGAAACCACAGCTCTCTACGCCCTATTGATTGATCCAATATTTCAATACTAACGAACAAGGGCAAGATATAGACTTGGCTATATCTAATCTCAGTGTGTTTGAGATCCTATCTAGCCTAGAAATATTTCAGATGGTTACCCCAGGGACTATATAGCTTTATGAATTTGAAACTTAATGGTTTAAATAATATTAATCAATTGATTTTAATTTGTCTTAAAATAGTCGTACGACCACGTGAAGTAGGCCTTTAATCGCAAGATAGCATAAAATAAAAATGAAATAAAACTCTAGAAAGATCTAAGATTATTTCACAAGCAGGGCAATTTAAATGTTGGGGTTTTGCATGAAGAGTTTATTTCCGAAGTGGGCTGACAAATCATTCGGTTTACAAGCGATAACAGACCAAAATCGGCTAATTACTTGGGATGTGGTTTGTGAAAAAATGACTCGACTTTGACACGAACCTTCTTGTTTACTGTTACTCGCTCTATTTATATACAATACATATGTGTGTATGTATGTGTGTGTGTGTGTGTGTGTGTTTGGGCATGTGTTATTTCTTATCCTGGCAATGCTAATGCGAACAGCCAGCTAAACTTTTATTATGTCCATGATTCATGTACAGCTAATGATTATTATTATTAATATATGATTTACTTTATGCATTTATATAGCTGCATTATATATAATTACATGTTTGTTTTTGAGTCCTTGAATTGTTTTTCGTAGCTGTTGATTGCTTGCAAAACGCTGAAAAAAAAAAATGTTTTTATTTCCCCGATCCTCGCCCAGCGCCCACCGCCCAACGCCCAACGCCTACCGCCGCCTGCTCGTCCAATCCAAAAAAACGACCCGCTCCGTCTCGCCCCGCCCCGCCCCGCTCTGTCTCGCCTGCTAAGCTTGCAATGCTTTTCTCTTATACTTAGCCTGACATCTCTTCTACATCTACATATATCTATTTATGCGTATATATTAACCGTACTTCCTCTTCCAGTGCATTTGTGCAGCATATGTATATGAGTTGTGCTCCTTCTTACGTTCTTATAATTTTTGTCCGTCCCCCCCCCCCCTCTCTCTCTCACTTTCGTGTTGTCGCTCGTATTGTTTTGTTTTACAGTTACAGTTAAAAACTGGTTAAATTAGCTGTGTCATTCAATCAGCTGAGTCTTATCGCTAGTTGCCAGCTATTAAATGACCGCAAAAAAAAAATAAAAAGAAAAAAAACAAACTCTGTAGAAACCAAATGAGTTACGCACACAACTATGAACACTCGCACACATACACACACACACACGATCCCGCACAAACCCACACATATACGTCATGCAATGAGTCGTGCTCAGATTTCTGTTTATGCCTAGAAGTTCCTAAGAATTCAATTAAAATTACCAAGAATTTGTAACAATAGCAACAACAGCAACATTTGCGTAGCCTGTAGGGAAACAGATCTAAGGGAAATTCTTTAGAAAGAGTAATATTTCGTTTCAAGGCAATTACAAATGTAATCCTGAACACATTTTCTGGCACAATGCGGCATTGTGCATGCGCGTGTGTGTGTGTAATCTATATACGATCGCTGCTTGGCTGCACACACACACACAGACTGACACAAGCCTGGCGCTTGCGTGCCTTGCCAGACATTCATAAACCGTTACATGAATTCACCGAATCAACAAATCGAAACCGATAAATCGTATCGATAAGCATTGCTTTCGCTTCCATTGCTCTCTCTCTCTCTCTCTGTTTTTCTCTGCCTCACACACACACACACAGACACACTCGGCGCCTTCGGTTAGCGTTGCCCGCTCTCTATTTGATAAACAGCTATCAGTATTTTGTTGGTACTATTTTTTAAAATTAAACACATTATTTTCATTTTGGTTTTTTGTTACCGTTTTACTTTTAAATACAGAATACCGTTTATAAAATAATAAGAAAAAAAAAAACATCTAAATATTAGCTAAGATTAGTTTAGGCTAAGGGCTGCTGCTATGTACTACTTGATTAAGCAGCTACTGTACATATACCACACACAAAATATATATATATATAATGTATAACGATCATAATTGCAGGCTTATAGCGTCGGTCTATTACGTTCTGACTATTTGGCTCACGTGTACGAGGGCTGTGCAATAAAGCAGGTTGAAATCAACACGGTTGCCTCCAGTTTCGGTGGCATTGCTACACAATTGGTGCCTCTGCAGAAGTATTATGCGCTTTCTCTCTCTCTCTCTCTCTCTCACACACACACACACACACACACACATGCACACTTTCTCTATATTTCTCTCACATACACACTCCCATCACCCCTCAATTTAGCACACTGTTTATATAATGCACTATTTTTTTTAGTATAGTTAAATTTGAGCCTGTTTCAAATTCCGTTTGAATATTAAGTGAAATTTCGTGCCAACGGAATTCGACACAGGCTTGACTGCACACACACAGACACACCCACACACACACACATACACATACATAGCAGCACGCACTTCAGTACAACCCTTCCCCACCCCCCCCCCCCCTCACCGCCCCCACTCACTTGTAATTACAAACCACATTTGGCCCATTGAAGGTCCGCGCCTGCTCATCAAACTGTAAATGGCATGCACTTGCACTCGCACTCTCTCGCACTCTCTCGCTCTCAAACTCTTTCATATGCTATCTGCTTTTACTCTTACTCTCTCTCTCTATCTTTAACTCTCACACGTACACTCACATACACACACACTGTTCCCGCTCCTTCTCTCTCACTCTCTCTCTACACACTTTTTGGCTTTTGGTTATGGCTTTGACTTGAGCTTTGTGATGCTATTCCAAAAACCGTTCCCCGCACCCCGTTTGTAATCCCCGCTCTAATTTTGCCTGCTAACTTACTTGTATTGTACATAATCCCCCTTTTACTAGTCACTTTTGTTGTTTGTTGTTGTTCTTGTAAACTCTCTCTTTTTGTTTTTTAAGTGTACAAATTACTAATTTGTTTTTCCTTTTGCCGCCGCCGCCGCCGCCGTCGCCTCCTCTTTCAACCTGCCCACAGCTTCGTTCTACGAGAACTGGGCCATGCCGAGAAGCTGCAGCGCGTGAGTATTTATTATATGTATATATTTATACAGTGAAAGCTCCAATAATGAGCCAGCCAAAATGAAGCCCAGTTGAGCTTTCACTGTAGAACCTTTCCTCTGCAGCTCTCTTATATATTCCCTCTCCTTCTCCCTCTCTCCCTCTGTCTCTCTCTCTCTCTCTCCGGCAGATGCCCAAAAACGATGCGCTGGCTTGTCTGTGCATTGGCATGGTGAGGGCGTGGGATATATACGCCAAGCCGCAGGCTGTCATCCTGTTCATCATTGAGGATGTGTCCTACAATATTTGCGATCAGCGATTCCATGAGTTCTACATACGGGAGAACTATCCGCACATCAAAGTGCTCCGCCGCACGCTCACCGAGGTGCATCGCGAGGGCAAACTGGGCCAGCACAAGGAGCTGCTGCTGTGCGTATAAATCTCGCCAAGATCGTGACCGGACAGCTTTATACTCTCTCTCTCTCTCTCCCGTTGCAGTGGCAGCACCGAGGTGGCCGTCATCTATTTCCGCGCCGGCTATGAGCCGGCCCATTATCCGTCGCAGGGTGAGTGGGATGCGCGCTACTTGATGGAGACATCGCTGGCCATCAAATGCCCATCGATACAGTATCATTTGGCGGGCACCAAGAAGGTGCAACAGGCGCTGGCACAGCCGTCGGTGCTGGAGCGTTTCATCAACGATCCGGAGGAGATGAAGGCCGTCGGCAAAATCTTCACCGGCCTCTATTCGCTGGACGACAACGAGGCGGGCAACGCCAACTATGAGATGGCGCTGCGCACGCCCGAGAAGTTTGTGCTGAAGCCACAGCGCGAGGGCGGTGGCAACAATGTCTACGGCGTGGACATTCCCGACGCACTGAAGGTGAGTGGCATGTGATCTCCTCTCCCTCCATGATCTGCATAATCATCTGAAACTGAATCTGTTTTGTGGCTTCCTTGCAGCGCATGTCACGCGTGGAGCGTTCCGCTTGGATACTGATGGATCTGATACATCCGCCGCTGTCGCAGGGCTATATGGTGCGTCCCGGCGGCGATATGCCGCCCCAGATAGTCGACATGGTGTCCGAGCTGGGCATCTTTGGCGTCGTCATCGGCGATGCCGAGCACATTTTCCACAACTACCAGGCGGGCCACATGCTGCGCACAAAGCTCTCGACGGCCAACGAGGGCGGCGTCGCCGCCGGCCTGGGCGCCCTCGATAGCCCCTATCTAATCGACTCCGATGATGAGGATGGCTACTTCTAGACGACCCGTTAGACCGTTACGCATGCCGCACGCCCTTTCGGGCGTATGTATTAATAGATATACCCAGCTATTTTTGTAATGCGCGTAGAATTGTCATCGGTGCAATAAATTCAAATGTAAATACGTCCAGATCTGTTAATATGGAATGCCAAGCGTTTATCAGTTGTCCAATATGATCAAATACAAAACTTCACTGGTTATAAATTTAAAATGAAAAAACCGTTGGAATGCCCGAATGGACACCGTGTGCAAAATAGTCCAGGATTGGCGCCTTGTTTGATCACCGCACCATTTTGCGGTAGGTGGCGTCCATCAGGCGATCCACCATGTGGTCAATGGGATGCACTATCAGGGGTATGCTCGCTAGTCCAATGATCGTCGGCAGCGTCTTCAGCACAATGCTGGGCGACTTTCTCAGCAGGGATCGACTGATCGCGGTGATCCTAAAATGGAAAAGCTTAATATACGCAAGCCGGGGTTGCAGCAGGCGCAGCTTACCTACCGATTAATGGTCAGGCCAGGTATTATGACAGAGGCCAGCATTTGCCAGGTGAAGACATCGGCGCCCATCAGCAGCACCTCGCGATCGGAGCCGCCAGCCATTTGATGGCGCAGCGCCTTATCGAATGTATCTGTGCACACATAGCCAATGGCCATGCCATAGGATGCGGCCACAAATGACCTGGGCACCAGCGGACGGAAGGCCTCGCCCACCTCGTTGCTGTAGCCTGGAGATGATGGCAAATAGCTGGAATAGTAATATGGTCAGCAGCCGGTGAAGGTTACTCTCACCCATGTATCGTATGAAGGTGTGCCGATAGATGTCCAACTCTTTCTGGTCTGTCTGCATTTGGTGAGCCTGCTCCTTCAGTTTTTCGATGCGTGGCTGGTTGGCCTCTGTGGTTTCTGGCTCAGCCATTGCTAGCAAATTGTTTAGTGCAAGCGTATGAGTTGTTTAGTTGCGTAATGACAAATGAAATTTCAATTGACAACATTTCAAAATTTCAGCCTATGCATATATTATCGTTGTTATCGTAACGCACTTTCAACAGTCTGGCAGCGCTGCAGAGTTGACACCGTCGACTGAAAATCGTATAACAATCGATTGGTTATCGTTTGGCCGCCACAAACTACCATAAAGACGTCAAGCGTATCATGGTTCATTTTATTGTCGTGAGCGTGAGTGCAAGTGCTTTAATAAAACAAAAGATTTAAAGAAATTGCCGTATTTAATTTGGGGTAAGTTTGTTTTATACACATTTTAGCGGGCTTAAAATGCAGTAGCCGTAGAAGCGGCAAACGCCGAATGCTGGCAAATACCGCGCGCGCGGCAAAAGCTAGCCACAAGCCACACAAACACACACGCGCGCATTAACACACACACACACACACAAATGCAGATGATGCAAAAAAAAAAACACAAACAACTGTGCAAAACCTATTTTAACGCCGCAAAACAAACGACTTGTGTTGTTTAATGTTTTAGTTTTCTTTATATTGAAATCTCTTTGGCAAAAGCAGCCTGGCAAACGCGCGAACATTTGCGCAGGGCGTTCAGTGTGGAAACAACACTCCCCGGCCGCCGACTATCCCCGTGACGCTGCAACTATTGTGTTTTTGTTGTCGTCTTCCCGGCAGCCATGTCCGACTACAGCGACTTGGACCGCCAGATCGAGCAGCTAAAGCGCTGCGAGATAATTAAGGAGAACGAGGTGAAGGGCCTGTGCGCCAAGGCGCGCGAAATACTCGTCGAGGAGGGCAACGTGCAGCGCGTCGATTCGCCGGTGACCGTCTGCGGCGACATCCATGGCCAGTTCTATGATCTGAAGGAGCTGTTCAAGGTGGGCGGCGATGTGCCCGAGAAGAACTATCTGTTTATGGGCGATTTTGTGGATCGCGGCTATTACAGCGTTGAGACATTCCTGCTGCTGCTGGCGCTCAAGGTGCGCTATCCGGATCGCATTACGCTGATACGGGGCAATCACGAATCTCGCCAAATCACACAGGTGTACGGCTTCTATGATGAGTGCCTGCGCAAGTACGGCTCGACGGCCGTCTGGCGCTATTGTACCGAAATATTTGACTACCTCAGCCTCTCGGCCATTATCGATGGCAAGATATTTTGCGTGCACGGCGGTCTGTCGCCCTCCATACAGTATTTGGACCAGATAAGGAGCATCGATCGCAAGCAGGAGGTGCCGCACGATGGGCCCATGTGCGATCTGCTGTGGAGCGATCCCGAGGATCAGACCGGCTGGGGTGTATCGCCGCGCGGCGCCGGCTATCTATTTGGCTCCGATGTCGTCTCACAGTTCAATCGGACCAACGACATCGACATGATCTGTCGCGCCCATCAGCTGGTCATGGAGGGCTTCAAGTGGCATTTCAACGAAACCGTGCTGACCGTCTGGTCAGCGCCCAACTATTGTTATCGGTAAGTGGAGCTCTGGCTGCCATCCATCATGCCGGAAACTTTGTTATCTAATCTGCTTTCTCTTTTGGAACAGCTGCGGCAATGTGGCTGCCATTTTGGAGCTGAACGAGTACCTGCATCGCGACTTTGTCATCTTCGAGGCGGCCCCGCAGGAGAGTCGCGGCATACCCTCGAAGAAACCACAGGCCGACTATTTCCTCTAAAAATGGGGATGCGCGCAGCCAACACGAAACCAAGACAAACGGCACGCTCCGCACGGATGACCTGATCGGACACTCACCCGGAGCGCTGCATCATTGATAACTGCCTGCCTGCCTCAAGCAACAAGAAATTAATCAATTATATACAACTTGGAACCCTTAACATTTAAGGCCTCAGCGACACAGACACACCCACAATCCACATAAAGTACCCAGCCCCAGGATTCCGAAAAGAGTTTCAACATCCCTGCACACTCATTTTTATTCTCATAGCGATTCAACCCAATCCAATCCATTTTCCAATTACTTTCTAAGCATATATGCACATATATATATATATATAGATAATTAAGACGTTTTTTTTTTTCTTCTCTTATTTTAAATTCAAATTTCATATATTTTTTATTGCTCATTTTGTCGTGTGTCTTTTGTACTCTGTCTAGCTGTCTAGCTGATTAGCTGATTTACTATTAGATCTAGAGCGCTGCACGCAACCGAATCCCGGCCCCTCCCCAGCCCATTAAGGGGGGCGTGGGCGTGGCTTCTGTGCATAGTGCAGTCATTAGACATAAGCCCTAACATATAGTCCATAAGCAATAATAATTATAGTTCTCGAGTCAGTTTCAGGCAAAAAACAAAAAAAAACAAAAAAATAAAAATCCCTCTCGTCCAACGTATGCAAATGGAAACCGAAATAATAAAAACAATAACAAATGCATTGTAATAATAATAATTATAAGCAATTAAGCAGCAAACCCAACAGCGTGTGAGGGAATATGTTTATTCACGTTTTTGCACGCCACACACACATATATATATATATATATATCTATATATATTTATGAAGCATATTTAAAAATAGAATTTGTAAGCTAGCGCGTATTTAAAATCTAAACGCATTTTTTCTTCTCGCACTCCGCCAAAGGAGCAGCAGGAGACTTGGCAGCTTGGCTTCTTAACTCGGTGGACCATGTCAACTAGCTCTCTCAGAGTCCTTGATAGCCCATGTCGGGCAGTTAGCTAAGATAGAGTTCCTCTAAAGTTTAGGTCGGGCCTGCTTATAGTCTTAAGAGTCAGCAGCTCAATCGAGCAGACTATATATCTGTGTATCTATAAGACTTATCCGATCCCATAGAGGATATATATACGTATTCTTGTTAAGCATAGAGGATACATATACATAGAGGATATATATAAGTATAGATGATACATATACATAGAGGATATATATACATAGAGGATATATATACGTATAGATGATGATATATATTCATGGACGATATATATACACAGAGGATATATATATTCATGGAGGATATATATACAGAGAGGATATATATACACAAGGGATATATTCATGGAGGATATATATACAGAGAGGATATATATACATAGAGGATATATGTACAAAACGGATATATATATTCATTAAGGATATATATATGAACATCTTGTCGCTTTCTATGTTTAAAGCTTTTACGATTTAAAGCGATCTTGCTGAAATCTGGCATAGATCCGTCCTTTTGTTGCAGGCAGTTGTTTGTGCTTATGTCGGAGTAGGGCGGATCGGCCTACTATATCATATAGCCAAAGTGTAATATATTTTTTGTAACTCCTAAGGGAACAATTTGTCGGTATTGTCAGATTATTCAAACTTCCCACTTAGTTCTACTTTCTTGTTAATAACTAAGCTGTTTTCTGACGCTCTGAGCAGGGTATTTGCGCAGTCGGTTGCAATCGGCTGCTATCGCCACTTGTGCCACGCCCCTAAAACAATTCCAGATGTGTTCTGCAGTTGGCGCAGTTTATTCGCATGCACTTAGGAACTAGACGCATATATTAAAATAATAATAAAAAAAAAAATTAAAGACAATTACGGATCACATATATCAAGGGTCGCTTGCAACATTCCTGCCGCAAGGGGTTTGTCCTTTAGTGCTCCTCCAGCGGGAGGCCGTGCTCGCGCATATGCTCCACAATGCAGCTCTCATAGGCAACGGCCGCGTCGCAACTGAGTTGAAGGGAATGAGAAGAACATGAATTAGCTAAAATCTTGGGCAGATTTATGCGTCGAGCACTCACTGATCCTCGGGCACCTCAATGGCCTCGCACTTGTCCACAATGTCAGCGCCGGCGGCCTCCTTATCGGCATCATCCTTGCTCATGATCTTAACCAGCTCCAGGGCGTGCTCCTTGCTTAGCTTGCCAGCGTCGTCCATCTGAAAGGAGAATGTGTGTGAGATGATTCTCTAGCTTGAGCAGCTGGCACTTACAATCTCGAACTTCTTTAACATGCAGGCGCGCAGGCACTTGCTCTCCTGCGACTCGGCGGGCTCATGCTTCATCATGTGCTCCACATCCTCTGAAATATGGGGAGCATATTTAGTTGGAAACCATTTGAAAATAATTTAAAGTACGCACCATCTGTGGCGCCCGTCTCCGTTTTGCACTCCTGGGCCACTTCATGGGCGTGCTCCTTGTTGATCTCCTCGTGCGGCTTGGCGGAGACGGCCACAGCGGCCAGGACCACGACGAGCATTGCCAAACAAACGAAACGCGACATGTTGCTGTATAACTTGGATGTGATCTGTGGAAGCCGCCAGCGTTTTATATAGTCGTGCATTTGTAAGTCATTTGCCAACCGATTTGACTTGGCAGATTGCGGCGACGTCTCCAGCTCTGGGCCAAGTGTCAGCTGGCGTCAATTAAACGCAATTATGGCCAATTGCCATGGGATGCAATTGCACTATATGAGCAGCACATGACACTCGATCTGGACGAGCAGCGCCGGAGATGCCCTCCGTTGGGCGACGTGTGAAAACGCTGCCGCCGACCCGTCCCTTCCCCAGCTCCATCTCTCTCCCACGGCGCTAGGCTTTTCCTTTGTTAATATATAATTACGATTTTAATTAGCGACTAACATGAAATCAAATCAAACTGGAAATGTGAGTTGTTAAATGCCGCAGCACCAGAAAATCCCAAATACTATGAAAAGCGCTTACAATTTTCTGACGGCCGACTCCATGACAGACAGGGACAGCAACAGTTGACATGAGCTGGGTCATCAATTCGACTTTTCACACTGATCAATAAAAACGGTTTGGATTTACATAATCCAGCAGCGTGACTTGACTAGCGAATACCCTGCAAATGCCAAGAATAAGAACAATTTTAACACACAGCAGTAAAAAAATTTTAAATTTGCACCAAAAACTGCAATATTTCGTATCTTCTATGTCTGTTGTGTGTGTGTGTGTATCAGACTGCGAAAGACAGCGCAAAGGCAAACTGTAGAATTACAGTAAATTTATGATGCCCGCAACCGGCATACATATGTAACTATGTAAGTACATACACATGCACATACAGTCAACCCCAAAATCATGCGAACAGCTCAATCTTAAAAACGCCTATACATATAAAAAGAGAAAAGAAAAAAACATTCAAACAAGATTAGAATTAACATATCGCTAATTTTCTTGAAGGCTGTCAAAAAGTCACATATGTACATATGCACATTGCATTTGAGTGCTGCCCATCACGTTCATTGTGAAATGTATACATAATTAATAGCCAATAGACAATGCATAGTTAAATAGAATATAAATTTCTAATTTTTGCCCAATGAACATAAATATTGATTAGAACTTAGTATTTTGTAATACACATTTATTTGTTTACAACCAATAAATACATTATTGAAGTTGTTATTATTGCATGCGCATATTAAGCCAAACACGCAGTCTCCCTGTCTCTTTCAGACTTTTAAACCATTCCACGCCCCAGCAAATTGTTCTCTTTCTCTCTCGTGTGCTTAAATCTGAAACTCTGCACAATTCGAACATATTTTAACTGTAATATGTGTACCTTTTTATATACATACATAAGAATATTGATGTTCCGTGCTGCCCATTACGAAAATTAATTAATTAATTAACAAACGAAAAATATTCAATTTGTTTAATAATATAAAAGTTATATAGAATACAAAACAACAAATAGGCACTTTTTTGGCTACTATAAAGTCTTCGTACACCATACTGTCCTAGCACTTAAGCTGCGTACGAAATGCAAAAAAGGTAACGGTAGTTTTTGTAAGCAACTTCATATGCGTGTGTATGTATATGACAGCAGCGAAAAGCTGATCCCGTTGATATGCATGTAAATATGTACATGACACATACATACATACTTTCGTTGAGTTGCTGTTCCTTGCTTCTTACTTTATACAAATTCTGCGTTTGATCTTTTTTGTTGAAGTGTTAGAGTTGAAAAGTGCCAAAAAAAAAGAATACAATATATGTACATACTAATCATAGTTCTGATAGTTAATAACACTGCAATTGCAAATAAACGACGCACACATACAAACATACACATGCATATTCGTATCTTTGCACTTGTATTCGCATACAAACATACATACATACATATGTACATGCAAATGCAGTCATTTGTTGTTAATGTGCGTGTTTTTAATTTGTTTATTTGTGATTTGTGATATGTGGAATGACAATGACAATGACAACGATGCATCTTGAACTTGAGCCACGCCCGCTTTGTGGCGTCAGCGCAATTGGGCTTAAACGTGGTGAAGGTTATTCGGCTGCAAGAGTTCCATTATAAAAGCCCGTGTAGACATATTGGCAGCCACAGATGAGCGACAAGATGATGATTTACAATACGCTGCTCTTGTTACTTGCATTGGCCGGCTGCAGCTGGATGCAGTGCGTCCGGGCACAGTCGCAAACGCCGGGCTTCGATCTGAGTCGTCTGTTTGGTGCGCGCAGCAATGAGCCGCTTTCAAAGCTCATCGATCGCAATTTGCCAGAGGTTCAGGAGATAATTGACCGCACCAAAAATAGGTGCCTCAAGCAGCTGCAGATGTCGGCGTCGCAGCGCTCGCTGATCCGCGAGCCGCGCCCCACCGAGCAGGAGAAGTGCCTGGTCGCGTGCGTCCTAAAGGGCATTCAAATTGTATGTAAATGTGCTTTGTCTAACGCCCCCCTCTCTCACTCTCTCTCTCTCACTCTCTCTGTCTCTCTCCTGCAGATGGACAGCAGCAGCAACAAGCTGAACCTGCGCCGCGTCCAGGAGCTGACCAGCCAGGTCACCGATAACAACAAACTGGCCGTCACGCTGAGCTGCAGCCTGGCCCAGAGCTGCAATCGGGCCGTCAGCACCCAAGAGCCATGCGAGGCGGCACATCAGCTGAACCAGTGCATCGGCCGGCAAATGCTGCGCAACGGGGTCAAGCTGAGCTGGTGACCAGTGTTGCCAACTGCCGCGACAAAAATGTAGCCAAAAATTGTTCAAAAATAGCTGAATCAGCTTTCTGAGGCACACATACGTATGTATATCCCATGTTTATAATTAAATAGGATTTTCGAAAAAGAATATAATATATATATATACGTATATATATAATGTATATTTCCTAATTCGCATATTCAACTTCATATAAGATATATAAATATATATATCCTAATTCAAATAATCTACTATTTTTCAAAGCGAAATTATATATACATCCCATGTATATTATAAATAGGATATACGAAAAAGAAATATAGTATATATATAATATAAATATTAAGATTCAAACTGAATATATATATATTTAATATATATTTTCTTATTCGTTTATCCTACTTCATATAAGATATATACATATGAATATATCCTAATTCAAATAATCTACTTTTTATATATACATAATAATGTATTAATCATGTTACCTCATGATTTGTTTTCATTTACTGTACACTTCTTGTGATCACATATAAATTTGGATCTAAAAAATGTTCTGATCAAGCTTATATTGATATCTCTAACCATCCGATCGGCCTCAAACTCACTTTCAAAGATCTGTGAGCGAATTTATTGTATAGGTGCCACGGGCAAGGTCGGGTCGGTAAACCCTCATATATTCGATGTAGACATAGGTCAAGATTTCCCACTCCCGTAACTCGGTCAAAACTTAACCGATTTTCATAATGTTTGGGTTTTTGTTCATGGCTTGGCCTCAAGACCAACTTTGGTATTTGAATCTGGCAAAATTTTTTTTGGGTCAAGAATCATGTTACCCTCAAATATCATACCCATAGGTCAAAATTTTCCGGCCTCAAACTCATTTTCAACGATCTGTGAGAGAATTTATTTTATAATTCGCGGGCAAGGCCGGGTTATACCCGCTAGTAGTTTATTTTGATGTATGTTATGTCGTTTTGAAAATTAAATTGTACTCCTATACTACTTCCCTTTTGATAGGAAATCAAATAGATTCCATGTCGTATACTAGACAATTGAATATATGGGCAATCCCCATAGAATATGCATACTCTAATGCCAAGCTTTGTATATATCTAAAAATATTTGGATAGAGATCAAATGTGGTCCGCAATTTCGCTACGACATGCAATATTTTCAGCAGAACGGCAATTGTAAATTACAATTTAAATTGTTATTATAAACATTTAGAAAATATAAGATAGGCCAAGGTTTTAACCATAACCTGGCCTTATGCATGTGGAAAACCGAGTTGAACTGAGCCAAATCTCTAGCCAGGAAGCTGGTACGAAGCGTAAACCGAACCACCCTGATTGTATCAGTCTAAGCTCTCTGGAAACAGCCAAATTAAGCTTGTAAATAGCTAAAGTGCCTCTAAGTCCAATTAAAATCCCAATAGCGCCCCATTAACGCCCCAATGGCGCCCCATTAGCGCCCCAACCATTCAATTAAGGATAAGCTAGGCTTTACTGCTGCTGCGGCTGCTCGCTTTATTCGCTTGTGCATGTCCAGGAACCGGGACCGCGAACTCTATAAATGATTACTAATTGAATTGAATTAAGTTAGGGCGTGCGTGTGCCAAGAGTTAAACAAATATCGAAAAAAGAAAAAGAAAACACAACAACACAAACATGCTGATAAGCAAAAGGCCAGGCGTAAGAATTAGGATTGGACGCGTCTACTCCTTGACGTCGGGTATCTTGTAGCCGGCGTCGCGCATCTCGCTCAGCATGCACATGGAGATGCTGTGGGCCACCTCGCACCTGGTGTGTGAATGGGAGACAAGGATTAGCTGGCCAGTTGGACGCTTGGCTTCGGTTTGTGGACTCACTCGTCGCTTTGACCGCTGCCGGCCCGATTGCATTTGTTGACAATGAGCTTGGAGTCGGACTGCTTGTCGGAGAACATCATATTCATCATATCCAAGGTTTTCCACTCGTTGAACTCGGTCTTGCCCTCGGGCATTACCTCGAACTGCTGCAGCATGCAGCGACGGAAGCATTTGCTCTCATGCGAGGCATCCTCCTTGTTCAGCACCATCTCCTCGATGTCGCCTTTTTTTTTGGGGGGGGGGGGAGGAATTCAGTTGAGCGCCTGCGCCTGAGTTTCGGCCTGGCATACTTACCGCGCTCCGGCTTGGGGTCACAGCCCTGGCCGAAGGGCTCCACCAGCTCGACCACTTCGTTCAGCGTCATGGAGGCCGCCTCCTCCTCCTCCTCGGCATGGACGAGACTCAGCCAGGCGCCGGCACAGGCCAGCAGCAGCAATGTGCTCAACCAGGTCTGTTGCTTCTGCTGCTTCATCATATCGAATTGTGCTCACTTGGACGCTATTTAACCTGCTCAGCGCCAGTTCAGCAGCTTTTATAGGCAAGCCAACAAATCGCAATGCCCCGATCGACATGGCCATGCCATGTCGCCAGCAGAGATTGATCTCTGTGGTGTCAATGTGGAAACCAATCAAAATGCGCCACAATTTACAGTTCAAGTCGAATTTTTATTCATAGGCACGTGACCAACTGGAGCGTGATATATAGACACATATGTATATGTATATATATTAGGGAAACACGAAGATGTCAATCTTGTCCCGGAAACAGCTGAGCAGCGCATGCGCCGCATCGCAGTTGTTCTTGATCCCGGCGGCGGCGTCCTTGCACTCGCCGATGCCCTTGCGATAGGATGCCTTATAGCTGTCCGGCATCAGGAGCTCCACCTGCTTCAGCGTTGACTCCATCTGGAATTTGCCCTTCTTCATCTGCGCAGAGAGAGAGAGAGAGAGAGAGAGCGAGAGAGAGACGGTCAGAAGGATGGATGGGAGCAGGAGGAGTCGTGGTCACCGTTTGCATCATTTCCATGACACAGTTAATGTAGCATTTGGCATCCTTGTCGTCCGGCAGATTGCCCTTCTGTATGCCATCGGCTATCTCCGGCGTTATCTTCGGAAACTTGGGCTGGCAGACGTCGCGCATCAGCCTGCCGGCGGCCCACATCTGTTCCTCGGTCGCCTGCAAAACGGACAAATTCACTTGTAGAGTTCCAATATATATAGAGCAAGACAAGGTGTCCACATACACCCGCCCGGCAGAGGGGCAGACCCAACAGCAGCAGGAGGCAGCAGCCAAATAGTAGTTGTGGATATCTCATGGCGCCGACAGATCCAGCCAATATGTTGCTGACAGCCAGCATTCGGTCCACTTTTATACCGATATTTGCATTGATATTTAAATGAGCCCTTAGTCCAGCCCAAGTCCAGCCCCCCGGCGGATCATTAGTGGCCTTTAATAGCATATATTTGTGGCATGCCAATGGGCATGTCTGATTGACCGAGAACAAGGACTGGCCCATTGTTTTGGGGCACGCCACATTGGGGTAGGGCCAACACCAGCCGCACAAGCCAAGCGATCCACGCCCCATAGTTAAACGCCCATCATCACCAGCTATTCATCAGAGCTCCGTATCTCTACATGGAGCCAGACACATATGCACTATAATTAATTACCCACGTCTCTGGTTACGCCACTCGTCACTTGCCGCTCTCTCTCTCTCTCTCTCCCTGTCTCTCTCCCTGTCTCTCCCTGTCTCTCTCTCGTTCGCTTTCCCTCGCGAGTATTTTAATTAAGTTGCGCACGCGAGGGTCAACAAGATCTCCGGGGTTCAGATAGCGTTTGCAACAAGCGAACTCCGACTGCATTCACATTTCACATACATCACATTCGTTTCATCTGAATGGAATGACGCCCAGCTGAAAGAGTCGATTACCAGTCAAGTCTCCCAAGGCCTTCGCTTCCCGACTTTCGAATGCCTCGATATCGTCCAGAACACCTTACAATGCAATTCTTACTGCGCTTCTCCCTCTGTTTTGTTTTTTATATAATTTTGCTTCTCCCGTCACGTTGATAGACAGATATCCTAGTTTCTCACTCCACATTGATAAATATCCTGCTTCTCCCTTCACACTGACCTAGATATCCTGCAGGCTTATTAAAAAGCTTCTCCCTCTTACTTAAACTCGATTTTAAGGGTAGGTATACTAATAAGTATTTACTCGCTTCTCGCTTCGCTCTCAATTCTTCTTCGTTTGCTTAACGCTTCGTTGCCCGCTTCACTTCTTCCTTTGCTTCTCACTTCACATTGACCTAGATATCCTGCAGGCTAATAAAAAAGCTTCTAGCCTCTAGCTTAAACTTGATTTTAGGTATACCAATAAGTATTTACTCAGGTTTACTGCTCGCTTCGCCCTTCTCTCTGCTTCTTCGTTTGCGTGCAGCTTCGTTGCCCGCTTCTTCCTTCACTTGAACCAAGACATCATTTAGCCATATTAAAAACCTTCTCACTTCAGCTTAATCATCATGTTTATATGTTTTATAATAAGTATCTAGTTAGATTTGGTGCGCTTCTCGCTTCGTTCTCTTTGCTTCCTTTGCCTACAGCTTTATTGGCCGCTTCGCTTCTTCCCTAACTTTTACTTTTAGATATGCTTTAAACATTTTGAAAGCATTTATTAAGTCAATGAGTTTCTCGCTTGGCATTTCTTAACATTTAGTTTTGCTTATTGCTTTGCTTCTCCCTGTATTTAGCCATTTGATTGCTTGTGCATATTGGGAAGGAATTATTAATGCTTAATGCGCTCCTCTGCTTCTCTCTTTACGTTTAACTTTGCTGCTTCGCTTCTTCCTTGGCCTTTAAGCAGACATTTTTGCTTTGCTTCTTTTTGCAGCTGAATCTTTGCTTTTCGCCAAGCTTCTTTGTTTGCTTCGACCAAGTCATTTACCAGAGGTACTTGCCCGTTTCTCGCTGCATTTTCAGAATTGTTTACTTCGCTTTGCTTCTTTTTGCAGCTGAATCTTTGCTTTTCGCCAAGCTTCTTTGTTTGCTTCGACCAAGTCATTTACCAGAGGTACTTGCCCGTTTCTCGCTGCATTTTCAGAATTGTTTACTTCGCCCTTTCCCTTCAACTTTACCTTTTTCTTTTGCTTCTCCCTTCACTTCCTCCTTATACTTATCCTTTTTCTTTTGCTTCTCCCTTCACTTCCTCCTTATACTTATCCTTTTTCTTTTGCTTCTCCCTTCGCTTCCTTATTAAACTTTATCTTTTTCTTTTCTTCTCCTTTCGCGTCCTCTTTAAACTTACGATTTTCTTTTGCTTCTCTCTTCGCTTCCTCCCTTAACTTTGCCTTTTTCTTTTGCTTCTCCCTTCGCTTCCTCCTTTAACTTTACCATTTTCTTTTGCTTCTCCCTTCGCTTCCTCCTGCCGCTTCGCTTTGCAAATCGCTTCTCTAATAGCTCGCTTATTGCTCAACATTTAATCGCTTCCATTCACCTCATGTCCAGTATCATTTCTGGGCCGATGAATGAAGTGCTTCGGCCTAAGTGCTATCTATTTGCCTAATGAGCGTTTTAGAAATTGCAGGTCTGCATCTATAATTTGGAGAAACAGATATCTATTTGGCATCTATTTGAATTACACAATTGATTGAGAGATAAGTGCACGTGGCCAAATGATATAATAGAATTATTTTTAATACCGCTTACCTGGCTCTCATAATCGCTTAATATATGCCCAATGTATTCTCATTACATTCTCACGATCTACGATTTCAGTAGACATGATTGTCGAGCGAGGGAATGAATTTCGGATTTGTCAGACTTCATTTAATATTCGTTGAAATATTTATTTAAAGTTTATATTTGTTTTTCATTGGTTTCCAGGCGATAAGTTAAATTTTAAGTTTAAATCCTTTTCCTTCTTTTATCTATAAGGAAACTATACTCAAATGGTTTTGTTTTAACTTGAGGGCAAACTTGACTGATTCGGTTCTCGGCTCGAGCCGCTTCCTAGGCTGCGATTCTTGAACCTAGTTCACAACTTTTACAATTTTAAATTGAACAATTCAATCTAATAAGCTTACCAAGCCGACTACAAAATACCCGACGTCAAGGACGCGTCCAACCCTAATCCTTACACCTGGCCAGCATGTTTGTGTTATTTTCTTTCGATATTTGTTAAACTCTTGGCACACGCACGCCCTAACTTAATTCAATTCAATTAGTAATCATTTATAGAGTTCGCGGTCCCGGTTCCTGGACATGCACAAGCGAATAAAACGAGCAGTCGCAGCAGCAGTAAAGCCTAGCTTATGCTTAATTGAATGGTTGGGGCGTTAATGGGGCGCTATTGGGGCGTTAATGGGGCTTGGAAGCAACTTAGCTATTTTCTAGCTCAATTTGGCAGTTCTTAGAGAGCTGAGACTCATTCAATCAGTGTGGTTGGACCAAAGCTTCGAACCAGCTTCCTAACCTGAGATTGGGCTTGTGAACTCGGTTTTCCACATCCAGCTCTAGGTTCAAACCTGGGCTTGTCTTACTTTTTAAATTATTTATTTTAAAAATTTAATTGTTCTTTATAATTGCCCGTTCTGCTGAAAATATTGCAGCTCGGGCATATTTCGATCTCTAACCATCCACCAAATATGGTTGAATAATTCCCATGGCTGAGGCCCAAGTTATTTATACTTGTGCCCTGAGTCTTACTCAAAAGTTTTCTATTAACAAACAAGGAGCTGGAAAATGTCCTTAAATTCCAAGCTCTGACTAAGATCCGAGTAGGCTGTGCTCTAGTATTTTGTGCTGGAGATATACATTGAATATGGCCCATAAATAAAAATTCAACGGAATTAAAGTAAAACGAGTAAATTGCTGGACTTTCAATTAAAACCCGTTCGACAAGTATATATCCATAATATAGATCAAGGAAAGGTATTTAGCACCCAATTCTGTCCAATCTCTCGCGATGTCGGATTATTTCAAGTTCAATAAGATCTTCGATAGCCAAACTGTGCGCGGACGCGCCAACGTAAGTCTCCGTCTCGCATCTTGTACCTTAACTCTTCTCTAAAGCCTGGCTCCAACACACAGGTTGCCAAGGCCACCTGGGCATCGGTGGGACTCATCTATGTGCTGGTCAAGATGCGTCGCCGCAATGCCAAGCGTCGGGAGGCCTTCAAGTACTGCAAGGGCTGTCAGCAGAAGCTGTTCCTCTAACTGTATACACGCATTGTTCTATCGCATGGCCTGGTCCCATCGCCAATTCCCCCAAGCTAGCACGTCATTGTCCCATGAATTCCCCAGAAGTTAAGCGTTAACCAAATCTCTTGTGTTCTGTTCAGTGTTAATAAACTATTTCACATTTCGAGCGACAATCGATTCCAGTTTTCTCGCGGACTATCAAACGCTCCGAGCTTAAACTAGTTGCGAATTATAAATGAATTCTTTTCTTTACTTGTTAAGCCTAAGCCTGCTTCCAAAGGACATGCGCAGAAAAGTAAAGTTAGTAAAGTTGTGCGTATGTTTGCAACATGCACAAGGTTTCTCTCTTCAAATGAATATATATTCGTGTTCAGCATCGATCAGATCGATCTATGTTCATCTACTTCGTCTACTTAGCAATTCCATCAAAATTTGTAGCTTTGTTATATTGCGCATATTTTGCACAATATTAGCTCTGGAGTCATCCAACTGTTGGATCTTAATTACTTTTTTATATCTTCTAAATCGATAAATATCGATTTCTAGTAAGGTACTCTTGCAGACTATAAGGCCTAAGAGAGCTCAAATTTGGTATAAAAGTGCTCGTAGATCATATCCAGCTCTAATTTATTTAATTTTATCGATAAATTGTTTTACTTATCGAAAATCGATAAATATAAATTTTCACAATTACGCCTATTTTCACATTAAAGGTTCAGGAGTCAACCAACTGTTGGATCTTATGGCATTTCCATTTGTAAAAAATCTAAATCGATAAATATCGATTTCCAGTTGAGAAGATTTGCCGATTATATGTCACAGAGAGCTCAAAATTTGTATAAAAGTGCTTATCATATGCAGCTAGAATATACTTTATTTTATTGATAAATTCTTGCACATATCGAAAATCGATAAATATCGATTTTCACTTTTTTCTAAATTACGCATATTTTGCACATTATAACTTCAGGAGTCATCTAACTGTTGGTTCTTAATAAATTTCCATTTTAAAAACATCTAAATCGATTAATATCGATTTCCAGTTAAGAAGATTTGCTGATTGTAAGTCCTAGAGAGCTCAAATTTGATATAAAAGTGCTCGTATGCCATTTGAAGCTGCAATTTATTTTATTATCATTTCATATCGATAAATCAGTGCATATATCGAAAATCGTCAATAATATATTTGATGGTCATCCTTTATCCCTGAGATAATTTTAAAACGTTCGGTTAAGAAACATACAATTTATTTATGAACGAATATTCCCAATCGCATGCATGGCATGGAAGAAGTACGAGGTATCTGCTAGTCGTTCACTCTGCGGTAGACTGAAGCACGCTTGTGTATTTGGTTTTTTGAACCGAGTAGGCAGCTGCTGAATGCTTCATTCGGCAGGTAGTTCAGTTTTTGTTGGACGTTCAGTTCAGACCCGGACCCGGACCCAGACACCCCCTAATACCTACCCAGATAAGACTAAAACCCCAAGCTAATTGCTTTGTCCGCGATGGCCGAGGGCTTCAAGAAGTATTTCAATAGCACCACAATGAACGGGCGTGCGAATGTAAGTGTTAGACCAAGGCAGTGACTCCTTCGGAGCCTCATTCCCCCGTCCCCTCCTGCAGGTCGCGAAGGCTACGTATGCAACGTTGGCGCTCGTCTATTTGTTTTATCGGGTGCGTCGCGGCAAGGATCAGCCGCCAGCTGCCAAGGAGCCGACACTAGAGCCGAGCTGCAGCTGTGACGAGAAGCTGCCGCACTCAGAGATCATTGTTGAGCCGCCGGATCGAGATTGCGCCGTGTGCCGGGAGCGACGACCCAGAGATGATGGCTGCAATGGACACAGTGATCCGCCGCCGCCACCGCCGCCGGCGAGCAGTGCGCCGGCTCGCCGCAAGTGCCCCTGCGAGGATCCGCACCGGCATCTGGACTCGGGCAAGCCGCAGCACACACAGCATCCGCCGACACAGCAGCAGCAGCGCCAGAGCATGAATGCATCGCAATTGGATGAGGCGCATCCGGCGCGTGAGCTAATCTCCCAAATGCAGGAGGCCGCCTCCCGAGTACTGCGCAACGTAATTGGCGCCGTCATGGGCGACACACCATCCGCGGCCAGCGGCGATTGCGAGGAGAACTGCAGCTGTTGTACGTCCAGCGCCGGCGCACCGGGCACGGCAACCGATGTACTCGACTCCGGCGATCAGGTGGAGGACGAGGCCTGCGACTACGAGTCGGACAGCCAGATGCTGAATCGCCAGCGGCGTACTGCGCCCCGCGCCTGCGTGCCCAGCAACACCAGCAGCGACACAGATGACCCTTCCGAAACGGAACAGCCCGAGTCCGAGTCCGAGGCGCAGTCCCAGGCCACGGGGCAGACGCAACCGCCATCGGCGCCACAGTCGCAGCCGCAGTTGCAGTCAACCACACAGTCGCAGTCGCAGCCGCAGCCGCCGACACGATATCGCTGCTTCGACGACGACTTTGCCTCCGAGATGTTCTTTGAGGACTATGAAGAGTGACAGATTGAAGGATTAACTAAGTCAACGCTTGGTTAGCGGGGTCAGGGGTTCGCGGCTTATCCAACTAAATTCTCAGTGAGCACGATCTTTAGTACATTTGGACTAGGCCTGCACATCTACACCAAATACATAGTATTCATAGATGAAGAATAAACTCACCTTTCCGAATCATTTACTATCCACGTTCACATACTTTCGACCAGAAAGAGTCGCTTATATTTCGATAAAACAATTATTTGGGTTAAAAGGCTTCCGGTTGCACTTGAGCTAGCTTATATACACATATACTGGGTGTCTTCTAGTCGTGCACTAACTTTTACCTAAAACAATCTTCGATTTGTTCTCTTCATTTCATTTTTCATTCATTTCTAACCACACAATTCACGCGCTTCACCAAAGAAACCGTTAAAACAGTGTTGGGAAACAAATTGCTACAATATGCTGAAAAAGTTATCGATTAATTGATCAAAACAATTCGTTTAATTTTTAACTATTTGCATTGTTGCTTGACTAAAGAAACCGTTAAAACAGTGTTGGGCAACGAATTTAGCATGGCAAGCGATTTGTTGCGAAAGTTATCGATTAATTGATCAATACAAATCGTTTAATATTTAAGTATTTGCATTTTATTTCAGATTTCAGATGCTTTTCATTTCTTGCATATTCTTTGTTAATTTCATTTTGTTTTTCGTATTTTTGCTGACAACACACAACTAGAATTGATCATCGTTAGCATATTATCGTTATCGTTATCGTTATAGCAATTATCATTATCAATAATCAATATTTGTAATTTAATATCAATAGCAGGCAGCTCCTGCCAACTGTAAGCTATATTATGTAAGCATAATTGTATATATATATATATATATATATCGATTTATGGTATTCTCATTTATATATATTATTTATATGTGTGTGGGTGTGTGTTTGGACTTTTTAACTAACATTTATGCAATATGGAAATAACATTTAACGTTTGCTTATTTTGCTTTTTGGTTTCGTGTCTCGGCTCATCAACAGTTTCCAGTATCCTTTCCAATATTCTCTCTCTCGCTCTCTCTCTCTACAATTATCGCGCGCGCTCTCTTCCAAGCTGTCTTTGCCTCTGTGATGTGTGTCTGTGTGTGTGTGTGTGTGTGTGCTGCAGATCTGGCAAGTGTGTGTGAGTGTGTGTAGGTGTGCTGCAGATCTGGCTAGTGCGTGCAAATTGCTAAGCAAATAATCGACTAATCGATTAATCGGCTAATCGGTTAATCGGCGGCTAATCTAATGCGTTTGAAGTGCGTTGCGTTTATCATATGCCAAGCAGCAGCAGCATAAATTATGTTTTTTTGTTTTTGTTTTCATTTCGATTTCCGATAAATTGTTGTTATCGATAATTGCGTTCAGCCGTCGTGACTGGCAACGGACTCGAGATCGCTGTTGTCCTCGCTGCCAGTCGCCTCGGTGGGTTCGCCCATGGCCACGCGCGCATATTCATCGGTATCGATGCTCTTGCAGAAGTGTATCGCATACTTGAGCTTCTCCAGCAGCACAGCCTACAAATAATATAAATTATAAATCAAGTCTGGCGACAATTTAAGGGATCTCGCTTACCTTGCAGGAGTAGCGCGGCATTTTGAGCAGAAAGAAGCAGGTGTAGCTTTCGGGCAGAAAATGATCGGGCGGATTCTTTTCGAGCACCTGCAGCACAAAGTCGCGTCCCCGAAAATCGGCAATGGTGCGCGGCAGCCTCGTCCTTCCCCACACAAATCGCAGGAACAGCGAACGCTCCTGAAACGATAAAAAATAATTGTTAACGAGTGCATAATTAATTGGAAGGAAGCATCTTTGATCCGATTAAGCATATATAGCCGAGTCCATCTAGCCATGTTCTTTGCTTCAAATTATCGATAACTTGGCGCGTATCCATGAAGTCGATAAGAATCGATAGCGAAATCAATAATTATGAACCGGGCCATAATTAATTATACATTCTTGGAAAGTATCGATAGCCGAGTCCATCTAGCCATGTCCTTCCGTCCGTCTGGAGACTTGATAATTTTGCTTAAAGTTATCGATAACTTGGCGTGTATCCATGAAGTCGATAAGAATCGCTAATTGTGGCACAGGATTTGGACGCTCACCTGATTGGTAAACTCCTCCATGACCTCCCAGAACCAGCCGACCAGCGACGAGCTGGGATCGAAGCCCTTGTAGGTAGCCACCGACTTGAGCAGGCCAAGCGGTATATCGGGTGAGCCGCAGACCATCGCCTGCAGCTCGGCGGCCGAGAAGAGGGAGAGCAACGGCACAGGTATCACCTTGGACATGCCGTCGCGCACGGCCTTCACCTGCTCATCGAATTCGTGCAGCCGGAAGCCGAGGGCGAGGCGCACGTATTCGGCGCGATTTCTGGGCGAGATGTGCGTATATCGGGTGGACAGCGGCACCTCATGTCCGCGTGCCGACGATGTCGAAAATGGCAGCTCCAGCGTATTGAAGAGCTTCGCATCGTCGTCCATATTCCGGATGCAGAGCAGCCCGGCCACATAGTCGCGATCCACCTCGGTGAGATCCGTGGGACGCAGCGGCTCGCCCGTTAGCTGACGCCACACGGGCTCCGCCAGGCTAAACACAGAGAGAGAGAGGGGCAGGGATTAGTTGTGCTCGACGAGAGTGGAAAAGTGCTCGGCTACTTACTTGAGACTCAGGGGCGATCCGGTGCGCACCGCAATGCCCATGAGTACGCCCAGAAAACGGAACATGTTCATCTGCAGTACGGAGGTGAGCGTCGGATCCAGCAGGAAGCAGTCCCGATTGGCGCCCGCCTCGCCCCGTCCATTGGGCGTGCTGATCAGTAGGGGAACGCTGCCATTTTGCAGTTCATCGCACATCTCGGCAATGGATTCGCTATATCCACCGCCGCAATCGTCGACGCTCTCCCCAACAAATTTCACCTTCCAGACGCGATGCGGTAGGGCGAGCGCCTCCTGGGTGAGCAGCGGCAGCTTCTGGACCATCTGGCCAAAGACGCTCTTCATGCCATCGATGCCGGCGAGTCCATTGCAGCGGCTGCGCGAGCGCTTCACCTGGATGCGATTCAGTTCGATGACCGGTCCGTGCTGCTTATCGCGCACCATGGTCGTCTGGATGACCTTGCGAAATGCGGCCTCCTTGATATTGTACACAAGCACATCCTTGAGTGCGCCCAAACTGAGATCGCCGGCAATCGGCAGCATGGCCAGACAGGGGCAGAGCAGCTCCGAGAAGTGATGCAGCAGGATGAGGCGGGCGTGCAGCGCTTCCGGCGCCAGATCGCGCACCAAATCGTATTCCAGCGGCGGATTCGGCAGCGGACGCAGCCGTTCGCTCAGCTGCGACGTGGACAGGGCCAAGGTGTGCGCCGAGCCGCAGGTCACCTTTACGATATGCTTGCCCTGCAGTGCGGCGACAAGGCGTGGCCGCTGTATGGCCGTAACGGTGCCATCGCCCAGCTGGCCCTCATCGTTGTCGCCCCAGGTGTAGACCTCGCCGGCATCGCTGCAGGCGACGCAGTGCAGCGAACCGGTGGCTATCGAGATGATCTTTTTGCCCTGCAGTGCGGCGACCTTTTTGGGCCGACGCACATGATCGACAGAGCCGTGGCCGAGCCGATGGAAATCGCCCTTGCCCCAGGTGTAGACGGCGCCGGATTTGGTCAGCGCTACGGAAAACTGTGAACCGCACTCGACCTTGATGACGCCCAGGCCGGCCAGGCTCTCGATCTTGTAGGGCAGCTTGCAGCCATCGCTGCCGCCGCGTCCCAGCTTGCCGTAGTCGCCGTCACCCCAGCTCCACACGTTGTCGTCGTCCGTGATGCACAGCGTCTGTGCATCGCCCGAACCGCAGGCGATATCAATGGCCCGATAGCCAAGCAGCGCCTCCACCAGTTTGGGACGCAGCTGATCCTCCGAATCGCCGTGGCCCAGCCGGCCGTAACGACCCTTGCCCCAGGTCAGGACATGTCCACTGGCCGTAATCGCCGCCGAATGAGCGCTGCCGCATGCGATGTCCGCGACGCTCATTCCGTTCAGATGCTCGAGAAGCTTGGGTCGATCGTAGCTCATGCGATTGCCATGGCCCAGCTTGCCGTCCTCGCCCTCGCCCCAGGCGTAGACCTCGCCGTCCGTGGTCAGAGCGAGGCAATGCTTGCCCCCGGAATTGACCGCCACCTTCTTGACAAAGACATGCTGCAGCGAGCCGAGTAGCGTGGGTATTGCCCACGAATCGCTGCCACCGACGCCGAGTCGTCCGCCTGAACCGTAGCCTGTCGCAAACAGTTTGCCATCCGGCGTAACGGCAAACAGGGATTGCTCGCCGCCGGCCAGCTGGATGGGACGCAGCAGGCTGAGCGCCTCGCAGGGCGTTGGCGTCTTGATGCGGCTGCCCTCGAGGCCGCCCAATTGGCCGCGATGATTGTGTCCCCAGCCGTAAATGGTGCTGGCGCCGCCCCAGCTCAATGCCCAGTCATCCGGTCGTCGATTGAGCCACTGCAGCAGCTGGGCGTCGTGCGGCGCCTGGAATAGCGTGTGATCCTCGTGCAGTAACAGCTGCAAAGGCGCCGCCGGCGCTTGTTGATGCTGTGCCGCCGCCGCCGGCTGCTGCTGCTGCAGTTGCTCCAGTAGCAGCAGCTCCGGCCCTGACTGTTGTTGCAGCTGCTGCTGCTCCGTGGCGGAGGCATTGCTCACGGTGCTGGACGAGAGCGACGTGGCCGAGTTGATCAGCGAGGCGCCCGGCGATGGACAGCTGACGGGCGCCGCCGGCGGTGGCAGCATTTCGGCAAATTTCTTGCGCACCTCCAGGCAGAACTGGCGCGGCAGCTCCGTGCGTCGGATTAGCGATTGGGCGACGCGCACCGCGATGCAATAGCGCTTAAACCACGCCCACTTGTGCACATCCGCCGTGGCATTGGCTACATTGCTGCTGCAGCTGGCGGAGCAGCCGGCGACGGCGCCGACAGCCGTCGAGGAGCTGTTGATGCTGTTGATGATGCAGCTGCTGCTGTTGGTGGTGGTGGTGGTGGGCAGGGCGGCGTCCAGCTGCATGTCGCAGGCGAGCGCCGCAAGTGTTTTGAAGTAATCCGAGTGCATCAGATGAATGCCGCCGCGGACCTGCGGCTCCTCGTACTCATATTGACGCAGCAGCTCCGGT